TTTGTAGAGATTCAACAATTCTGATGTGAGATTTTATTGTTTATGGTGCAGAATGCGAGTGACGGCTTTTAGTCAGATCTTTGAGTTTCTGCACCCTTTCCAGTGAACACATATTAAGCAGCAGATTTTGTGTTCCTTGAATGACATAGTGCTTTCAGTGACTGTGATGTGAGTTTTTATGCTTATGGTGCAGAATGCGAGTGACGGCTTTTAGTCAGATCTTTGAGTTTCTGCACCCTTTCTAGTGAACACGTATTAAGCAGCAGATTTTGTGTTACTTGAATAACATGGTGCTTTCAATGACAGTGGCCATAGCTTTCTAGAATTTTAACAATTATGATGTGAGATGTTATTGTTTATGGTGCAGAATGTGAGTGACGGCTTTTTGTCAGATCTTTGAGTTTCTGCACCCTTTTCAGTGAACACATATTACGCAAATGATTCCATGAGACAGTTGAACATTCTTACCATGCCGGATGAGATCCACCCATTGAACAATATTAAGTTATTTGTTAGTTTGTCAGTCCTGTTGAATGCTTTCAAGGAAAATATGAGTGGCGTGGTAACGACGCTGCATTACTAATGTGCTTCGATATTTATGACCCTCAGTCTTGACGCTTTGTAACGAAGAGGGGCTCAGCTGGAAAGCTCGATTGATGTGTCACATACACGATAAAAACGTGTCCAAAAAGAAAAAAACCGATAGCACTAGACGGAAAAAATCTCTCTTTTCATTCTAAGCTGCTCAAAGATGACCTCAAGATGCATTTCATGTTTAACAATTCTCACGACATCACAGTGCCCTCCGCCGTACACCGCAGGTGACACTATAGCAAGTCCAGTCAAGCTGTGTTACCATTAACGCGGTTTAGAAAGGCGAAAGATAGAAACAGAAAAAGGTGGCTCGATCTTAACAACCCGTACACTGACAAGAACGTTTTCGGGCTAAGTCGGCTTGGCCCGTAGAACAATGACACTTTCATGGATCTAAATGTATATGGTTAATCTACTAAGAGCTCTAATTTAACGTTCTTAACATACGAGTAGCCTAGAAGCCGTACATAGCCACGTAATTTCTATGTTAATGTTCAATATATTATTGTTGTTCCTTTCTCTCTTACTTAACTTTTATTTTAGTTTATTTCATTTGTTGTTATATTGATTGTTTTGGTACCGAAATCTTCATGTCGAAGATACTGAGTCGATAAAGTTGTTTGAAAGAGCATAAATGCTTTAAAATCCCGGGTTTAAATATCTGAGCATTGTATTAGGTAGTACTTTGTCCTTTAATGACCACATCATCAGTAAACCATTCGCAGTTTTGAGAGCAGTTATCGAAGGTACTTGGGATACTTTTTAGTTCGAGGCCGGCGTTGACACTGGAAGCTGCCACAGTCGAGTCTACGCAGCAGCCATGGCCTTCCCCATTCTTGGTTGTTGTGATGTCGAGCAGGTACAAGTTCGATCAGAAGGAAATGATAAAGTGGTTGGCAAGAGCCGCGTAAAATACTCTTTGTTTTCCCTCCAAAATTTTGCATAAGAATATTTTTCAATTTCTATAGGGACGATTGTAAGTACCCAGAGAAAATGAAAACAACGCTTACTCAAAATTTTGGATGGGTAATAATTAAGACCATTATGATATTTTGGAAACAACCTCGTCCCCAGGTTCTCTCGGAGAAAGGCCTATTTTTCAAAAATCTTCAAAAATGACCAAATATGGTCATTTTGTAGACATCAGAAAAAACAGTGTTGTTGTGTTGACAATGGTGTTGGGTTACACTAAAGTTGCAAGAAATCACATGAGATCGTGATTATCATCGAAGAAAAGCTCTCTCTAAGAATAGTACATATCACTGAGTTATGTATCGGAAACTCCGAAAATTTGCTACCAGGGAAGGATCGATGAAGACTGAAATCAGAATATTATTGCAACCTCATTAAAGAGGCTAAAAATGACAGTCCGGAATGTGGAAATCCCTTAAAGAGACTCTTCCGTCTAACAGTGTAGGGGATGTAACAGAAATTAACCTAGGTGGCGGTCGTTCGTGCTTGTGTTCCTAACAAATCGCTGAAACTTTTAACAAGGACTTTCCCTCAGTTGGTAAACGCTTAGTGAAATCTTTCCTTAGAGTTGAGTTGGTCGGCGTCATTTATCGCCGATGTCAAGTTTGAATTTAAGCCTGTAAAAGTGGCTTCTGTAGCAAAGCCGGTTAGCTCAATTGAAGACAAATAAAGCGACAGCCGGCTTGGACAACATTAGTGGGCGTATGCTATGTGATTGCCCCACCTTTGACTTACCTAATTAACATGTCTCTTCGGACGGGAACTCTTCCTGGCACATGTAAATGCGCAAAGTTAGAGGCTTTGTTCGAACAAGTTGATAGATGCGATAAGGAGAATTACCGCCCTACTTCCGTTCTGTTCCATTCTGTTAAATTAATTGAGCGTTTTGTGCATCTTCGGCTTTATGGCCATTTATTAGCTCAAAGCAATTTATTATTTGATGAGCGATTTAGCTTTCGACAACGTCGCTACACTGCTACTGCTCCTTGTCAGTTTAACGATGATTTACTTAACAGCATCCGGGACCAGGACGTGTTCACATGATTCGTTTATCTGCACTTCAAAGGAGGCATTTGACACTGTGGACCACAATATTTTTCTTTTAAAACTCAAGGCCGCTGGTGTGTCCGGAATAGCATTAAGCTGGTTTCAATCTTATCTGGCTTCTCGTTGCGAAAGGACTTGTAATGACGATCGTTAAGACCGAGTTTGGACAGTTTATGGCTATTGGAACTAGGCAGCAAAATTCAGGCTATGAACATCAAAGTAGCTTGCTAAGAGATTAAACCTAACTCCTAAGTTAAAAGTCTAGACTGCTGCTTCGACTTCAATCTGTATATGCGTGACCATATCACAAACGTGTGTACGTGCGTGTTAAGCAGCATTGTTCTTGCATAATATTAGACGCATTTAGAAGTATCCACCGAGAAACATAAGTCTAAGGAAGCCTCCTAGCTTAGGTTAAAAACCTATGCTAATTAGGGGACACAAAATAAATAAATATAAATTAAAGTGAAAAAATATTTACATATAAGCGCAGGTATAAAAAAAATTAATGACATTAACAATATTTACAGTATGACAAATACGTCTATGAATTGTAGAGATCACAACACTTGCATACATTATCCATTAGTGTAACTATATCTAATGTACGTATTTTGTTTTTGAAACATTTTAAGGTGGTAACTTCTCTCAAGGCTGGGGATAATTTTCCCCAGAGATTGGGCCCCAAGTGGCGGAGGGAGTGCTTGCCATATGTTACCGTGTTGTACCTGACAGCGGAGAAATCAGACTGCCTTAAGTTAAACATAACATAAGAACTTTATTTAAGTGTCAAATGTATTGAGCTGTACAAAATATAAGACAGCTAATTGGGGACACTAATCTAAAAATACATAATAATAAAAAATAAAAATTAAATTAAATGGGCACACTAATCTAAAAATACATAATAATACATATTAAAATATTTTTAAAAGACAGCTTACGTACTCTCGTACATTCATCACGATTAGCACGTTTTCTCGTTGATTCTTTCCGTCGAAAACGTTTCAAAACTTTTTGCACCCGTATCGCAAAGGTCAGGGGTTCAAATTCTGGAGAAATCAGGCTTTCTTTTCGCAATTGCATACGTTGTGTATTTCTTAATTCAGCGTACCCAACTATCTCGGAGCCTGGAACAGGTTAGGTCTAATCAGGGAGAAATTATGTCATCATTACCAAGTTAGAGCGGAAACAAAAAAAATTCTCCAAATGCATTTCGAATTCGCACATTTCTATTTCGTTCTTATTCATTTGGAATTGAAACGATAAATACGTCCATTCATGTACGATCCCGTAGTTCCCTCGAAAACCATACCTGATTCCAGGCCAAAATGGGCAAAGTGTTTTCAGACCAAAAAGGCCCAAAACCCCTACCCTTCCCTTATATAAGGGAGTACCGGCTCCTGATCCTGACCCCTTTCATGATTGTTAGATTATACACAGTCCGCAGTGCGCAGTCTGCGTTTTATAACTAGTCCGTGTTTTATACCCAGTCCATATTTTCCAGTCCTTATTTTCCAGTCTGCGTTTCATACCTAGTCCGTATTTTATAGCGGAGCTCCACCCGCGCGCGAGGCGCGCGCGTGGGCGGAGCCCCATAACTAAGGAAATGTGGTAATCTACCCATCCCAGAAAATTTGGTAATCACGTGACCGTACACCGAGCCAGCGAGCGAGCGACCGTCCGTCCGCACCACAGGTATACCAATGTAAAATAACTCAATAAACAGGTATGGGAACCCAAATGCAACTCAAGGTTTTATTTGGAAGGAAATCACATGGCCGTACGGACTTTTAGAAAGAAAAAAGTCGTGTCTTTTTCGGCGTTATTTTTTATGTGTACACTAACGTGGATAACAGAGAAAGAGCTAGAGCGAGTTATTAAAAAGTCGTTGGAAGAAAAACATGGAAATTCAAAGCGGCGGTGAGAAAATGAGAAATGCTAGCGGCCAGCAAGTTGAAAATGAGCAGCAGTGAAAAATAAAAGCGAACATGAACACTGGAAACAAAATATTGGGTAAGCACATACGACAATTTCTCCATAAAAATACTGTGTAACTAGGAAGTTTGACGTTTCAGTCGTACAAAACAGTGTTGTAGTCGTGCAAAACAACGGCAAGGGAAAGACAACAAAGCGTGCTGCACGTGCAAATTTGCTTTTTGCTAATTAGAAGAAAAAGTGTGCTGCACGTGCAATTTGTTTTTTTGCTAATTAGATCTATTAGTCTTGAAGCCATTTTCATTGTCGTCCCCCGGTTAGCGTTACACGATTTAATTTTTTTTGTTTATATGTATTATTAACCAGAGCTTCGCTTTTAGCCCTGGCTAAATCTATATATTACCCAGTCCGCAGTCTGCAGTCCGCAGTCCGCAGTCCATATGACGATTCCCAGCTGTTTGCTGTATTTTATAGCGCAGGCGCATGGTTGCTAATCAATATTCAATGTAGTGACGCGTCCTTCGATTCTGTGAATTCCGATGGTGTGAGGCTTGTTCTTCCCTGGCAACCGACTGATATAACAGTGAGATGCCTTACTTTCCTGTGACATTTTCCTGACATTCAATTTCAAGGCAAATTTTCTCCCATGATCAAAAATCATCCAGAGATCGAAGAGCAGCTGATCTGATCGAGACTTGCACGCCATGTTCTGCTGACAGCTGGAAGTAAATTATGTCCATTGTTGTGACTTCCTTTCTCTGCTTTGAGGCTCCAAGGAAAATGATCGTTCATACCTTCTTATGTACTGTGCTAATTACCACGATTCACCCTCGTATACTTATTGAATCTTCAAATCTGAGTAAGTATATAAACTTTGTTTGAGTTAGGTCCGTACATTGACATGAGCTTTACTGTTTTGTCTTAATAATTGGATTGCAACTGTAGCGCTGCTTTTTTTTTTTTTCGGTTTAGCCTAGTATATAGACTTCAGTCTGGTTTGTTATGTTTTAGTCGCGGGATGTTGTAGAATATACTTTCTAAGGCTGAAAATGTTGTTTTTTGAATATTGCTTTCCTAAGTGTTTGTTTATTAAACAATGTAATCTTAAATCTACTGATATGTAGTTTGCTAAGCTGCAATTGTTATTACGTCTTACATGTAAGATGAAGTGTCCCTTATCTGAACTTTACAACCCCCGGATTTTCCTTGATCCTCCGTTCTGCCCATGAACAAACAGGCATTTTTCGTCCCTTTTAGTTTATGAACAAATTAACGCCATTTAGATTGCAAGATGGGTGAGCTTTGCATTTGTTTTGTTTTTCCTTCTGTTAGTTTTCTTTTTTTTATGCTTTATGGGTTTCTTAATTATTTTGAATTATTTATTTTTAAATTTTTATTTTTTGCTTGAAATTGGGGGAGGGGGCAAAAGCCCCCCTCCCCCCCACGGCTCTGCCGTCCCTGGCACCAGCTGTTGGTAAAGAACTCTTGGAAGTGTTACCAACTCAGTGTACTTTTTCTGTTATTTGTTTTGGGATGCGAAGGCTGGAACTGTCTTTGCAAGCTTTGTCATTATTTCCCTGTTGCAATACATGATTCAGGATCAAGCAGCCAAAAGGTAACTTCTACGGGAAGGTCAGCCTGTGACTTAAAAGAAAAACTGGACTGTTTTAAAAAAATACAGCAAGGAAAGTATATCATTGTACACAATGGCTGAATAGTCGAAGATGATTATTTGAATGTGAATTATTTAATAGAATGTTTTGTGAAGTTAACCTGATATGTTGTACATACCTTGACTTGTAATTTTAGTCCTTCTCAAATAACAAAATCTCCAGTACTTGAATTTATATGTAAGGTATTTCTCTCTGTATGTTTTTGTATTTCTTTTCCTTTCTTTTTCTTATGTAATTTAATAATGTCTTTATTTAAAGTCTTGTCCTGCCTAGATTAGCATTATAGCTATTTGCAGGACATAAAATTGTAAACTTTATATTTCTTTAAATAAATACATTGTTGTTGTTGTCGATGGACAAAATATTTATGAATTTCATTGAAATGCCTATCATTGATCAACACAAATATAGCAGCGTCTTTGGTTGACGAAAGCCTGGTTAGGGTAAGCCTGTTTGTTGTGTTTGCCTCAAATTTAAAATTACATCATTTTGCTTTATGCAGATATAGCAAAAATACACAAGTTTATGATTCGGCATCACAGAAGCAAAAATTTAACACTGGGAGGGAAAAAGCGCAACGTTTTGGGGGCCCTATGGTTTCTGCACCAGGTGTCCCAACTTATTGTGACGAGGATTGTAGGTTAAAAACAGATTGACCTAAGAAACAAATATTATTAACCCACAGCATACAAACTCAGTGATCTTGGTGTTTTAAGCAATCTGATTGGTTCTCTATCCTGAACTATTATACCCTCAATGTCAGATGCCAAGGGAAACAGTTAGTTTTCTTTTCCCGATATTTGTCTTGGGAAACGTGAGGACTCGAGGGAGAATAAAGCTAACTGGTTTCCCCAGGGACCTGACATTTGTGTTCAGTTATAGTTCTAGATTTTCACTTCAACAGCGACAAAAGAATAACGGGCAAATCAAAACAGTTGACTTGGATCTTATAAGAACACAAATTAATTCTCAAAACCACTCGAATGATTTGCAAAGTACTTTAACTTTAATTCCTTATATTATCTGCATCTTTTTTTTTCTCCACCAACTGCTGTTTCTCTTTAGGGATAACTTTGAAAATCGTTTCTTAAATAACTTGAGGCTTCATGTTTGTGTTGTTGGATCTTGTTTTGTAAAAACTGGCAGTGTTTCCTGCCTTCTAGCTGTCACGCCACTTTCCACCGTGCTTTGATCATGTGCTGTAATGTATCCCAAGTGGGGTACAATTGCTGAAATGTGTCACTATTGGGGTACATTTGATTTTAGTCAAGGCTATGTGACCAAGAATCAACCAATGGCAGTCCCTGTTTAGTTGAGTGAAAGTCTAGGAATATAACAAGATATTTAATATTCACCAAGCTAAGCGGTGAATTTATCTGATATTTAGCAAATTAACAAAATCGCTCTAGTGAACTTGGAGTTTTGCCAAATTTTTAGAGTAAAAACTTTTTGAACATACAAGTAAATCATAGCGTTGAAGTTTTCAAAGGTAAGAAAAGACGTCAAAGTGTTTAAACAGCATAATTTATCGTGAAGTGATTTACCGTAGCTGACTTTTTCAAATGCTATTCAAAGAATGTTTACAAATACAGAGGAGGAGGTCAGTGTGTTGAAAACAAAGGCCCCGTAAGACCCCCTAAGTTTGGGGTTAGGTTTGCCCAGTGTAATGACTTAAGTGGAACATGAATCACTCAGTTTCCCAACCCTAATCAATATAAAGTTCAGAGTCATTCGATGGGGGGTATTGCGGGGTCTTAAGGGTCTTTGTTTTCAAGACACCCGAGGAGGTCCTCACAAGACAAATTTTGCCCAGAAATGTAAGTTAGAAAAAGGAAAAAGTGAAAGTATTTTAGAAAATTGTACATACCAGCAAGTAAGCAAGGCAAAGAAAACTACAGATAAACAATACTGATCATTGTCAGTACTTGCAACAAGAGACAAAAAAACACTGTTTCATCAGTGAGTTGACAGAAGGCAAATAAATCTGTTCTCAGATGGGGACTAGTTTTTTTTAACTATTAATGAATCTTTTAAACCACTGGTGTTATAGTTAGCTTACAAAAGGATTGAAACAATGATTTGCCATGTTTGAAAATACTGTGATGATCAAACTTTACGGCATCAAACAACATGTTTACGGCTACTTGTTCACTCATAAATTAACCCGTCAATCAAAAATATTGTTTTTAATGGTCTCCTTTCTGAGGGTTGTTAATCTTTTTATTTTCTGTCATTTTTTAATGAGATTTCACAATCCAGCCATCAGACCAGGTTGTTGCAGTTGGAAAACCTCTTTTACTCAATTGCCAAGCACAATACAGCGGATCTGGAACTGTTCACATATCATGGAGAAATAATGGTGTTTGGCTTCTAGATCCAACCAACCAACCATGGACTCAACTTACAAACCACTCTTTGTATTACAGCAGCATTCCTGCACAGAGCATTGGTACTTTCATCTGTGGAGCATCAGTTACAGCGACAAGCCTGGTCATTTATAGCAGGACAGCAAAGGTTCAAGCGGCTTGTAAGTATTTTGTATCAAATTACCAGTAAATTATTTTCTTTGTGAGCTATCAATCAAAGTTACAAATTTTCCTCCTTTTAAATGTGTAACATACTCTTTCTTAAATGAGTGTAGTAGTAGTAGTCTTAAATGAGTGTAGTAGCCTCCTTCACAAAAAAAACAAAACATTAAACAAAAACATTAGCATGGAGTAGCAGGGAGATATTTTGTGCTTTCTTCAAAGGTTTGATAATGATGAGAACAAAAATGAAACCTCTAGCAACCCAGGATACCACAAGGAATTTTCTGGTGGTTGAAGGCAATTTACCCGTACCATGTATAATTTTGAATGTGCTTCGTCGGCAGGAGAAGTTGCTGTCAATTTCTATGTGCCAAAATAATCAACCTCTAGAGACTTAAAAAGTTTTATTAAGTTTATTTTATTTTATTTTACAGCAGAAAACAAAGCTATTAGCATTAGAAGAAACTTTTTATGCTTTACACATTTTCTCTGCAGAAAATAGCAGTTCTGGTTAATGAAAATAATCGGTCACGTATCAATGGGGAATAGCAACTCTATACCTGCCAACTCTCACGCCTGCGGGTTGAAAACTTTGATCTCACGCCTGCGGGCCAATTTCTCATGCCTGATTGAAAAATGTGAGTTGTTGCCATCTTGCTTGACACAATTTCCAAAAATATGTTAACTCAGACCCATGTAAGGAACGAAAACCATGTGTAAATGAATAAATAACAATACCTTTCTCGCGATCTCTGGTTTTGTGGATAAGCGTTTTCTCGATAACTTTGCGTTTGGCAGACTTCGGACGTCTTCGGAAGACTTCGGACTTCTTCGGGAATCTTCGGAAATGATCGTGTCGTCTGCAAAAATCCCAGAACTCCCAGGATAAAAATCTCACGCTTATATCTCAGAAAAAGTTGGCAGGTATACAACTCACACAAAGGGGGTCCCCCCCCCCACCCCGGGCGCTCAATTCCAGAAATAAGACTTAAGCCCTGTTCATACCGAAGCTAATAAAGATGTTTAAAAGCTGTTTAGTCATAATTATGGTTTGAAATTATTTCCTTCATAAAAGCTGCTTACTGACTTAATTGAGTTGATTGTAAATGTTGTGAATATTACAAAACATGAATTCACAAAATTCAACATGTTTTGTTGAATTTTGTGAAAGGTTTGAACCCAGGAGTCATCTCAAATGAAGGTTGAGTTTGATCGTCTCAGTGAATATTATAGTGACTGAATAGTACTGTTGTTGTTGAAAGTGACTGTCGTTTTGACAACCTGTGTGGTAATCATCTTCAGAATCAAAGCAAAATGTATCACGTCAGTTGATGGTATTATACTCTGGTTATTGATCTGATTGGTCAATTACGTTGCGATATTATTGGTCGTCTGTCAGTTAAGCCATGATGTTATTGGCTATGAAGACTCACAATGTAATTGGTGTGTTTCGATTCATCTATTAATATTGTCACAGTGAAACAGTCGTCTATTGTGAGTCAAATTGACAGTTCTCCAGTCGTTCTCTTGTAGTTAGTTTTGCTTGATCTTGTCAATGAGTCGTTTGTATGGTGTCGATAACTAACTATTGGCTACCATTCAATTGCATTTGTACTAAGTTAGTAATTAAAACCAGCTTTCTAAAGTAAGTCGTTGATAGTCGTCTGTAGAATACCTAATACATGTTGCAGAGTTCCAGTCAATTTGATGTTTCGTCTGTAAATGGTGTTCACCAATGTGCTTGTTGACATCACCATTTCTCGTCACTCATTTGTGTTCAGTCAGTCACGTGTTAAGGTTTCTACCCATTTCACCAATGTAAGTAGCCTTGCAGTCATAGCATTTGATCTTGTATACTGCTCCCTGTCTGTCCTGCGGTTTGTCTTTGTCCTTGACATTAGTAAGTAGTGGTCGTAAAGTGCAGTGGCGGGGGGAGGGTCACGGGGTCAAATCATGATCATGCTAAGTATATTAAACGACTTAAAGAACTTTACAAAATGAACTATCAAGTCACAAAAAATAATAAAATAAAGTAACAAACTCGTAGTGGAAAGACTGACTTGATTTGGCTTTCATTTGGGTTTCATTTGTTTACGTAATGGCACATATAGGTAGGGTTTCTCTCTCTCGGAGTCTGCTTCACTGCTGTTTTGTTCTGAGGTGGCGGATTACATTCCTAAGAACAAGTTAATTTTTTAGCATCTGTTTATCATCTGCCAAACATGTTTGTACATTCCAGGTGACTCCTTTAGATGAACCCTAGTGTCTTTCACACCCGTTTCCTGTGTCATCACGCAAGGCTAAACTCCCTTGCGTCACGACACGGGAAACGGAGACTAGTAGGGGTAATCATTGTTAAAAATGTTATTAAAAAAATCTATAATGCAATGGATTCAGAAGAAAACAAGTTAATACGAGCCGAAGTTAATAAAAATGGGTTGAAAAATTTTAGAATGATTGTACCTGGATTTTTATACACCTTTATTATGTTTTGGAACGCAACTTTCATCCCGGCCCTCTTCTTGGGAGTGATGGGATATGCGCGCTTCTTATTTCTTAGTTTTGTGTTAAGCCAATGGTTGATGATACAGGGGACCAGGAAGAGTAAGATTTTAGGGGGAAGTGGATGTTTTGTCCGATTCTCGTATTTCATGTACGTGACATGTTGTCGTCTCGCCTTATTTCAGACATTTATACCCTGTTTTAGATGGTTTTAGATTGTTTGCGAGTGGTTGTAGATGTTTTTGAGGTGGAATGTAGATGGTTGTAGGTGGTTGTTGAATTTTTTGAGGTGGTTGTAGGTGGTTGTAGATGGTTTTAGGTGGTTTTAGGTCGTTCCATGTTTTAGTAACTACGCCCTTTCAGACCTGATGCTTGTTTGAGACTGAAATTCGTAAATCGACAGGATCGTACATCACTTTTAAACTAGCTGATTTTTTTAAAATGAAACGCTCATTGCATTTTGCCACTAAACTACTAATTCCAGGGATACCTCCTATAATCTGTTCGCATCTGCTCTCAAAGCAGTTTTTCCTGCACCAACAGCGACCGGCGTTCACAGATTGAGAAACACGTGGTCTTCTCTGCTTTCTCATTTAGTCGACAATTATGCATCCTCTATGAGTAGAATTCAAGTACACGGGAAGGGGCCAAGGAGTATTTATAAGTTTCAACCGTAAATGGTGGGAGGGGGTGTGGGGGAGAAGTAATTTGCCACGAAAGAATTCGTTCAACAGTCCTTGCTGAAAGTTTGGACCCCCCCCCCCAATAAAAAATTCCTGGATCCGCCCCTCCAGTGGTTATTGGTTTGTGTGCAACACATATATTGTAAGGTTGTAGTATATGTGCGATAGGTTCAGAGGTGCCTCTGATGTACAGTATAGCCGCTGTCGTAACAGGGCCAGAGTTGACGTTGGTTTTAGTGTTAAAATCAGTGTTACTGTGAGTGTTCTGTCTAGCAAAGTCCGTGTTGTAGTTGTTCTTACTAAAAATGTTGTTTATAGGTAGTTAGTCTCGTCTTGTAGGTTGTCAGGTGAGTCACAAGCTAGTTGGGCTCATCTCGTCAAAGACCGAATAGTAGTAGCCTTGTGAGAGGTTGGGTTGTATGAAGACTGTGGTCTAGTAATCGGTCGGTATGTGTCAGTTTTCTGTGAATAGTCGTTTGTAGTCTGTTGTTGTCGCAAGTGTCCAAGCAGTCTAGAAAAGGTATCTTGCTATTTTCTTCGTTTTCTTTTGTGAAATGTATGTCCATGTTCTGTCTGTTAAGGTGTTCATGAAAATCGTCGATTCCATCTTTGTGAACCAAAGAGTTATAGTTCACATGTAGGTAGCTAGGGCTAAGATAAGGGCTAGTATAATACGATCAACTGACGTGATACAACTCCCTTTGACTCTGAAGATGACTACTGCACAGGTTGTCTAAACGTCAGTCACTGTTAACAACAACAGTACTATTCAGGACTATGTTCACACGGACAAACTTAAACTCAACCTACTTTTGAAATGTTGAATTTTATTGGAATCCTGCATGAAAGCTTTTGTGTTCCAGTTTTCCTTGTCTTTTTTCCATGTCTTAAAACCTTGTTTAATTAAACTTGTTTAGTTGGTGTGAATGGGACAGTAGGTGAGGGTTAATTTGTCAGATTATTCCGTCTTGTAATAACTTCTTTTCCACCCTTTCAGTTGACTGATCTACATCTACATCTACATTTATTAAGTTGATAAAATCTTGTAAGACATTTCACATGCTTTCCTAAATTTAACTTAATTTCAGATAATGACTTGCAATTTACTAAGTCAGCGGGCAGTGAGTTCCACTCGTTTATTGATCTTGGAAAAAAGGAAAACTTAAAGACGTCCGTTATAGAAACTTTTGGCATTCTATACTTAAAAGCATGGCTGTTGCGTGTTCTTAATTCACTGTTTGGTATTAAGTGTTGTTCTGTGTTTATGTCTACTAGATTATGACTAAGTTTGTACATTAAAGTCAATCTGTTTTTCTTTCGTCTTGTTTCTAATGTGTCCCATTTCAGATCAGATAACATGTCTGTCACACTTGTTGTTTTGGTGAAGTTTTGAAGGCAAAAACGAGCAGCTTTTCTTTGAACTCTCTCCAAGGTTAAAATATCTTTTGATCTGAAAAATATTTGATGGTCAGTAGCTTTACATCTGCTTTCACAATAACCTTTTAGTGATATACTTCTGAAATATGTTCTAGTCCAGCAGAGGCCCAAAGGTGGATCCCTGGGGACAGCCTCCTGTAACATCCATCTAACTCTGGCCTAAACTCTAGCTGTTTGTTTCATCCACAAGAGTATAGCATTGAACCCAATTTAGAGCCCCATCTAAAAAATGATATAAATCTAAGTTTTGAATGATGGATTGATGATGTTTGAACTTTACAAGCCTTTTTAATTTATTTTTTCTAAAATATTTCCAGATATCAGCTCCCAGTTTTTTACACATCCTGTAAACATCACTAAAAGACTTGGACAGGAAGCCACATTTGATTGCGTGACAGAGAAAAGTCTACCTTATGCTTCTATTTACTGGGAAAAAGATGGAAAATACTTTGCAGAAGGTGTCTCATTTCAAATTCCAAGTACAGAATCTTCATCTTCCGCTCTGTTGGTGAAGAATGTAACATTTACCAGTGCAGGATGGTATAGATGTGTGGCTACCAATCCTTTGTTACCAAATCAGCCTCAGAGAAGCAAAAAAGCTTATCTTACTGTGCTGCGTAAGTGTTACAATAATATGGTTTCAATAGAAAGCTGTGTGAATGCAATGTGATATTGGTTTCTATCCGTCAAGTCTATATCAGTGAAAAGTGGTTTCTTGGTTTCAGCTTTTATTCTCCTTCATATATTGACATTTAAAGTGATGATTCTGTAATGAATGATAATTATCAGCATTTCTCATACTCAGTCATGATGTTAAGCCACAGATTACTGCATACATCACATTCATGCATTTGGTTACCTGGTGAAATACACTAATCCACCACTCTCCTGTGTGTAAAAGTTTTATATATAGCTTATTTATGCAAGATCTCTCAACAAAATGATCTATACTTCTGCACTGTAGTATATACTATAGTGTTCCTTTTTTAAAAGCTGATGTGGGAAAAGTTGCAATTTGTTGTTGCATGAGAGGAGGTTGTATGTCAGGGGCTGCAGATAACATGAACCTGGTTGATTGCTCGCTTTGCCGAGATCTCAGCATGGGATAATTACCTGCACAATAGTCAGCCCCTCAGACAAGTCAGATAGAAAATGTTCAACCTTCTGACTTAAAGCTTTTTCAAACTTGTCACTCGTGATTTGTTATAGTAAAAACATCACAAAATAATAAAAACACTGATCCTTCAGCATCATGCGTTTAGTTTTGATAACATATATTTATACTGTGAAAAGTTTGAACCCAGGAGTCATTTCAAAAGTAGGTTGTGTTTGATCGTCTGGGTGATTGTAGTCCTGAATAGGACTGTTGTTGTTGTCGACAGTGACTGACGTTTCGACAACCTGTAGTGTACGGTAGTCATCTTCAGAGTTAAAGTGGGTTGTATCACGTCAGTTGATGGGATTATACCCTGGTTATTGATCTGATTGGCCAATTACTTCACGATGTTATTGGTCATCTGTCATTTAAGCTGTGATGTTATTGGCTATGAAGACTCGTAATCAGTAATTGGTGCGTTTTGATCCGTCTATTGTCACAGTTAAACAGTCGTCTATTGTTAGTCAAATTGTCAATTCTCCAGTCGTTCTCCCGTAGTTAGTTTTGCTTGATCTTGTCAATAAGTCGTTTGTACGGCGCTGGTAACTGTTGGCTACGATTCAGTGGCGTTTGTTCTAAGTTAGTAAACCAGCTTTCTAAAGTAAGACGTTGATAGTAGTCTGTAGAATACGTTATAAATGTCACAGAGTCCCAGTCAATTTGATGTTTCGTCTTTAAATGGTGCTCAGCAATGTGATTGTTGACGTCACGATTCCTCGTCGCTCGTTTGTGTTCGGTTAGTCGCGTGTTTAGGTTTCTGCCGGTTTCACCAATGTAAGAAGCCTGGCAGTCGAAGCAATTGATCTTGTATACTGCTCCCTGTCTGCCTTCCGGTTTGTTTTTGTCCTTGACATTAGTAAGCAGTCGCCGTAAAGTGGTTATCGGTTTCTGTGCAACACGTATATTGTAAGGTAGTAATATACGTGCTTCTGATGTACGGTATAGTTGCTGTCGTAACAGGGCCAGAGTTGGTCTGAGTGTTGGAATCAGTGTTACTGTGAGCGTTCCGTCTAACAAAGTCCATTAAGATAATCAGTAATTGACCAATCAGATCAATAACCAGGGTATAATACCATCAACTGACGTGATTCAACTCATTTTGACTCTGAAGATGACTACCGCACAGGTTGTCGAAACGTACGTCAGTCACTGGCAACAACAACAGTCCTATTCAGGACTACGTTCACCCGGACGATCAAACTCAACCTACGGTACTTTTGATATATTTATACTGTCTGATGAAACACCCTCTGCCATTCTAGAAGTGATAATTAACTGGAATGTTTTTGATGATTCATTGACAGCTCATTCTTTCTGACGGCTTAGATTTTCTTGGGAGCTCATGATTTTAAAGACATGTTAGTGTACATTTTAAAGATTTCAGAATTCAAAAAAAGTGCACTTATCCAGTAAAACTTACAAGTACTGTTTGTCACTCTTTTTCTGATAGTTGCTATTAATATCGACCACCAATTTCTGTCACTGTCTTCAACTGAAAACACTGCAATGCTAGGACATTGACCATAAACTACCGGTTATAAGCTCCCCCGCCCCTCAACTCAAATGCCCTCTTAGTTCTAGGCCCATCTACATGTATAAAATATATCTGATTATAATAAGCCCTCCCCCACCTAATATTATCCTCCCTTTAGCTTGTATTGAGATGAAATTGATTTATTGTGAAATTTTGAAGCTTAATTAAAAACCAGTAACTGCAAAACACTGCTATAGCATGTTTCAAAGTGCTTTTTCGGTTCCAGTAACAAGTCTCCTCAGATATAAGCCCTTTCGGTTATAAGCCCTTCTAAAACCCCTTATGAAGGAATAAGCCCAGGCCTTATATATAAGCGGCAGTTTTATGCTAATCTCCGAACAGAGACTGTTTTGTAGTAATACACGTAACTTTTCAAAAAAAATATTTAGTGTACATTAAGCAGATTAATATTTTTGATTTACAGCTGTTCTGGATACGCCTCATTTTGGTGTTCATCCAAAAAACACGATTATTGGAGAGAATGTTCCATCCATAATGATATGTCAAATCCTGGGTGTTCCAACGCCTCTGGTAGCTTGGACCCAAAACGGACAGCAAGTTAATAATGTATCTGACCGTTATATTTTAAGCAATGGATCACTTTACTTTGCACCCCCTGTCAACCGATCATATGCTGGTCAATATGTGTGCAGTGGAACAAATTCAATAGGCTCTGTGTCAAGCCAGGCTGTATTGTTGAGAATTGCATGTAAGTAGCAATGCTCGTTTCAGCTTAACTATACCACGTTTTGCCAGCCATGACTGTGCTGATAATGAAGTGTGTGTGAGGTTTACTTTCATTCTGAGTACCAGTCTCTACCTTTCCTGTTCAGTTTATCTTATGTTGCTTTCATCCTTAATTGTTTGATCGTGCAAATTGTCATTAGGCTCGTCAATCAAATATCTGTTTGATTCAGTTACCAATGGGATCAAGAACAGGCTACAATGTAATTTGCAGTTCGTCTACATCTGCCACTAAAAAATAATTATAAATGTCTTCAGAAAGTTACTAATATTTTGTGTAGATTAATGGAAGAATTGATAAACGTTGTTATGGTGGATTACTTTTTTTTTAGATTTTGACTTTTCATTCATTGAGAACCCAAGTAATCGTACTGCAGTGGTAGGGGATGCTGTTAGTATCAGGTGTGTTCCACCAATCAGTTTTCCTGTCCAGGTCACCATTCATTGGTACCATAACTATCAGCTGATAGTACCAGATGCCGCTGCTACCATTTCTATTGATAGTTCTGGAACCATTATGCTTAACAGTATCAAGAAGTCTGATGAGGGGATATACTTCTGTGATGGAACAAATTCTTTTCTTCAGGTTACCAGAACGTCTTTGCCGGCCTATGTGACTGTATATGGTATGTAGTTTTATTTTGCCCCGAGTCAAGTAATGATAGTGATCTTAGCATCTGGCATTGCACTTAGGAAAAAGCCTGTAGACCCGGGCCCCAGGCCTGTAGATAGTTTCTGATGTCAGAGACTGCAGCCACAGTTTGTTGTACATGAATTCAAAGGAGACAGACGGCAAATTGTTGTGGCTCGAAATACAACTTGTACCTTAATGTCGTAATTAACTGTTCATCAGTAGGACGCATAAAATTTGTGCAGTTCCACAAATATTGGTTTCGGCTCCATTTAATCCTACCATATCCTTGGTGTATGGTGTGTGTGCACGTACAATTGTTATTCGCACGTGCTTTATTTACTTTTTAATTAACGTGTGTATTTAGTTCGTTATTAAACGCATTACATTTTCTTGAGACAGTCTTTCTAACTAGTCTACCTTGTCAGTAACTGTGCTCACATTGTGGGTGGCTCCTCCTAAAAATGTTCTACAGTTGGCATGAGAAGAAGTTACCAGACATTCATACCCATAGCTATGTTTAGTGGCGTTGAATAAACTTACCTAGCACAACTCAACCATTGATTGACAGTCCCCTCGCCCGCATTGTAGTGATATACTTGTCGACGATAACGCTATGACACTTGAAGAATTTATTAAAGGAGCTGAGCAGAAGAGTGGATTTGAAGCCTTGCTGACTGAGATACGATGAAAGTCGGCGAAGTCTGTTAACAAAGTCCAACTTGGACGTGTTACAGTCAAAATTATTTTGCTAACGGACTATTTAAAATGCATTATTGGAATTTTCCATAATACAGCTACAGAGGTTTATTGATTCTACATCAATCTCTGTTTCATTTTCAGTTCCACCTAAAATTCATGTTCAGCCCAAGGACACTAATGTTACAAATGGCTATTCTCTAACTTTGAACTGTGAAGCTACAGGCTTTCCTCAGCCAGTTGTATCATGGCAAAAAGATGGTCAAGCTGTTGATACTAGCCATGTAACTCTGTTGTCCAATGGAAGCCTGTATATTTTTAGTACTGTTATGCAGGATGCTGGACAGTTTAGTTGCAATGCTTCTAACAGTGCTGGTTCTGCTACAGTGTCTGCTGATGTTGTTATTTATGGTGAGTGCTCTAGATAATGTACATGTCAGTAACGGCAAATTACTTGTAAAATATTCCTTTTTATGCAGTCTACCAATGTTTTGCGTGCATAATTCTTCTGAAAATTCACGGACCTGCATTTACCCATTATGTCTTCTTGTGAGAGGCAATAGTGATCCAAATCAATGAAATCATTGTTGTAGTAGACAAACTTGTTGATAATATTAGCACTGTGAACTTTGTTGCAGTTCCACCATCTCTCATCTCTTCTGCTGAAAATGCCACTAGGACTGTTGGTGAATTTGTTAGATTTCAATGTTCCTTTTATGGAATCCCACAACCAGATGTTCATTGGTTTTATGTTTCTGGGGGATCTACAGTGCAACTAACACAGACAGCCCGGTATTTCATCTCAGCTGGAAATCTTCAAATCACACAATTAAAAAAGAGGGATGAAGGAAAGTACATTTACCGGGCTGTCAATATTGCTGGACGAACGGAATCTTCAGCCTACTTAAATGTGAAAGGTACAACTTTGGTTGAAGTTTGTATACATGAACTTGGTAGCCCGCTATACGTGTCCTCATTTGACACAAAGAATACTTGCCTGCAGGAGCAAGGCTACGTAGATTTAGCTGTTTTATGGTAGTCGAGCGATTTTCCGTTTTTTCAAAGCCTGATGACTGTGAAAGCACAGGTCGGTAATTTGAAAACGATTTTGATCGGAATTGTCTGGTCAAAATTACGAGATGTTAATTTTCTGTTTGGCTGAATTATGTACGTTTATGTGTGGTTTGAAATATCCTGATGCCGTCACGAGTGGTACTACTGGAACTTCGTTCTCAGGGTCCTCTCTTACTCGTGAGAGGTTGGTATAACTGAATGGAGAAGGATGTAGAGCCATACTGTTGTTTTTTACAGGTTGAGAACTTGTATATCAGAATTATACAATGGCTTAGTTTGATGTAGTTTGTCTTGTATGTGTTGACTAAAATTATTGCATGATTTAACTGTGTTTCCTTTATTTTAGCATTTCGGTGTAAAAGCCAACCATGATTTAACTATGTTTAAATATGCATGTTTTTGTGACCCTTTCTAGTTCCAGCATCTCTTAACTCAGAACCAATGAATGTGACTGTAAACGAGTCATTGTCAGCTTCGTTTCGGTGCAATGCTTCAGGCGACCCAATACCCACGGTCACGTGGTTCAAGGGAGGGTTTCAGTTATCTGCTGGTGGTAGAGTGGTTATTGGAGAATACATTTTGACAGTTGTGAACACAGTAGCAAGTGACAGTGGACAGTACAGCTGTAATGTCAGCAATGGCATTAGTTTCCATGTTGGTGTAGCTTATTTGATTGTACAAGGTAAGAGCCTGTCGCTGGTAACCTATTTTCTCGTGAGTCACTTTCAGTTGAATTTAATTATTTAAATATCGACCTCCAAACGCTTGTTAATAAGATTATTGCAGAACCTCGCTGATATAATCCAGACTTGTGTTGAATCGAATCTAAAATATTTTGGTTTGTCAATTTTTTTTAATGATGAATGAATAAATGAATGAATGATAACTTTATTTACACACGGTTTAAAAAAGCGTATTTTGTAAAAAACCTCGCCAAAATCCTGGACATGCCACTGCACGAGGAGTCACTCGAGCTGTACTCTATCCTTTGATCTCATTGGCTAACGTCAAAACAAAAGAATTTACGTCACGGAAATCGTTTGGCCGCTCGGGTTCGCAGACGTTATTTTCGGGTGGAGAGAAGCGACGACTAACGGAAATAAGTCTTCGTCCGCAGGCTAACTGACGACTAGCCATTTGATGAGAAATGTGTACGGCTTTTCGCTATTCTTTTTCGAAGCAAAACCCCGAAATTAAAGTGTACCAGTTTAGTAGCTTGAGCTGACAATGAACGGGTAAACAGCAATTGAGAACTTCTGTTTTCAAACCTCCGTTCCATGACGACCAAAGGCGTTGCGCAAACAAGGATGTTTTTGGTCACAAGTCTGCCAGTTAAGTTGCTGAGCAAATCCCGCGGAGAATACAGCAACTCCCGTTATAATTGGGGACACCCTCGTAATAGCGGGGTACGAGAGAAAAAAATTGTTTTCTCTTTAAACTTATGAGATAATATGTAAAAGTGCCAAAAGCGTTGTAGTTTCGACAATTCTTTACTTTTTTTAACTATGGACCATAAACGGTTAAAGATAATAAGATTATAAATAGATCTAAATGCGTATGCTGTATTATCACTTCTAAGTTCCTGCAATGACAAGGGATACATAAGAAAGGGCTTTAAAAACCAAACGGAAACTCCTCCGGTAGCGTGAATGGCTAAAATGTTAACTTGCTGTCAAATATAATGTTTTTTATTGTTCTTGGGAGCTCTTTTCTCGCAGAAATGTTGCACAGTATACTCATAACAGAAACCTGTCTAACGACTTTTGACTTTTACAGTGGAGTGTTAAAATTACGCAAAATGTTTGTAAGCTCTAATGGCAATGTCTTTTTCTGCCTAAAATTGCTGTACAGCAGTCATTTGTTGACTCTTTTACAAAGAAGCGGTCGATAGTACTTTGTGTCATTTTTTCTTTTATATAATTGTAACGTCGCTTTATTCTTTATGTTATGTGAGTCAGGCTTTTGGACGAAGTACTCAAGTATCCGCTATAGCGAGAGAAAAAACAAGTGAAATGTCGCGCTTAGGGGCAGGAAAGTGTCCGCATTTCCGTAATAGTGGGAGTTTGTTTCAGTCGTTTCTTTACGCGTTTCGCCGAGGGGTTGGCTCTTGTCCACATTAGCGGGGTGTCCGTAGTAGCGAGGTGTCCGCAAGGCGAAAGTCGACTGTAATATGCGTGTATCGCGATCTTAATTAAATATAAAAGACCATTCGTAGGATAGGAAAACAAAACGTCCATGATCAACATGAACTCAACCCGAATTCCTTGTTAAATTCCCTAGTACTGTTTCAGGAGTGTACAACGTAATGTGGCGAATTCACGCGTCTCGATGAATGAAGACCTGGAGACCGACTTTTCGTAGTTGAAAATCCACCTCTGATCCTGTTTTGTCGATCTATAATCCTGCTAATGTATCATTAACTGTTTTGACATACATACAGTACATCTGGGCTGTCTGTGGGTGCCACAGACTTTTCATGCGCGGTTTCCGGTTTCGGTCAAGTCTTTAGAGTGACCCGAGCGAAACTCCTCTGGCCCAGGGCGCTATTGCTTTGGTAGCGCCCAGCCAATTCCAAGCGCGCAAGTAGTTTAGTCTAGAATTTGGACATGTCAGCTAATTTGCTCCTAACGATTACCAGAAGGACTTTAAATCCACCAGACGCTACAAATGGTTGACAATAATAGGACTCCACATGAAACAATTTTTCAAACTGTGCTGTTTTTGTAAGGATAACCATGTACTCTGTTCTTGCGATGCTGAAAGTTTTGAAACTGGCCGACGGAAAGTATCAGCAATAAAACGCTCGACGGAGAGGAGTAGTTAAGCGCGAGGAAAACAACAGATATGTTTTATTTTATGAGCGCATGTTAGGACAGTTTGGCGAATGTATTGCTCTCTGGTCTTGTCGACTGGTTGCTGTTGCTTGTTTAAAAAGATCTATTTCCGACGCTTTCCGCAATCTGCTCTCAGTGCGTTTCGGAGACGGGTTTGAGCACTGCTGGTTTGACCACACCCCACCAGCTCATTCACTGGTGATCTTATGACGGCTGTTGATACTTTCTTCCCCTCTTACCGCATCAAGATCTATCCAAGTGATAAACCCTGGATGTCTCTTGAGATAACAAGGAGTCTTCATTCGGGTTTTAAAAGGTCGGGGGCAGATTTAGTGACAACTATGACTAGTTGTAAATAGGATTTTAATAGTTAGCATTGTTGTCAATAAAATTTTTTCATTATTTAAAAAAATTATTATTATTATTATTATCATTATCATTATCATTATCATTATCATTATCATTATCATTATCATTATCATTATCATTATCATTATCATTATCATTATCATTATCATTATTATTATTATTATTATTATTATTATTATTATTATTATTATTATTATTATTGCTGTCTTACAGTTAACCAGCACAATTCCCGAAGAATTGGAGAGAGTTGATCGAATTTTCCTTCCCCGGGCGGCAAAGTTCTATTCGTGTTGCAATTTACGTATATTTCTGTCAGAAGTGTAAGACCAGACCGCCGAGCAGTAAAATAATTTACAGAAAACAAGCGCGTTAATTAAAATCGCTAGAAGGTCTTAATCAAAAGCGTGTTTTCCGCGAGTTATCTAGGCTAGCTTAGAAATACAAGAAGCAGTGAGAGCTGAGATATGGCAATCAAATGTCAGGTGAATAGTCACCTTATATCACGAACCAGTTGTTACAGCCGCAAAACTGACGCGACAAACTGAAACAGCGACTGCAACAAGAGAATCCAGCGATATTCATACAAACACACTGTAGACATGAGCTCTAAATTTGATGTTAACGCAACATGCGCAACTGGTATAAGCCAAAATGGTTAATTGAAGTTCTAAAAGTGTTCAAAAGCTTATCTGCCTGGATAGTTCACTTTTTCAACCTAAGCAAATTTTATAGACATAAATCCTAATCTTAACGGCTTTGATGTGTCAACTCAACTTCCATACAGAAACCAGCAAGATGTTGTTGTTTCCCCCTGGATTTCAATTTTTGAATTAAGTATTACCGACCTTCTTTCCTACCATGTAATCCGATGAAAAATCTCAAAGTTCACAAGCGGTAAATGGCATCGATCCGTACAAGTGGGTTGTTCCTCGTGGCTCCGGCTTGTATGCTCCCACGCAGACGTTCTCAAAAAAATTCCCTGGTACCCAAGAAACAGTTTTTTACTGGTTGTTTACAAAAGAAACCCTTTTATTATGGTGAAGCGGTGCTGTGGAAAAGTTTTCCCCTTCTGGAGATCAGGCAATCGCGATTATTAAATAAAAAACTTGATAAGTATTTCAATTGTGCTTTATACATGGCTTATTGTAAATTAGGTCTTCTTATTTTCCTCTCAGAAAGCCAGGAACTGCATTACTTAAATGTCCAATTTTTAGCCCTCAGCCCCCTTCTCTCACCCTGGACGGTCCGTCCTCTTACAGAGGAGAGGAGTGCTTGGTCATTGATTTCCTCTTGTCTGTGTCTACGTCTGAGTAGGATGTAGATCCCTTAAGATTTGATTGTATTTTAATATTATTATCTTTTTGTTCCTGCTTTCAGTTGCTCCAAATATCACGTTATTTAATGTTCCCAGGCTCATTGGTTCAGGAATGAATGCCACACTGCTGTGTGCAGCCACTGGTATTCCTCAGCCAACGGTCACGTGGCAAAGAAAGGATGCGATGCTATCACGTGTCCAGCATGTGGCAAACAGTACGTTTGTAATCGTTGACGTAGTTCAAGCCAACGGTGGGATGTACTCTTGTGTTGCTTTTAATGCTGCTGGTGTATCATCAAAACATGCAAACCTAACTGTACAAGGTTAGCTACAGCTTTCCTCCTTCGATAATCACGCGTTCTTAACTGTCTAATGTACAATTATGTTGGGTTTCTTTCTTATTGATTCTGAGTTTAAAGAAATCCTTGAAATAAATACTGATCTCTTGATAGTACGTTAGCACGTCGTCCATAGCTGTCCATCATATTTATCATGTGATATTTATATGTAATTTCATCGACGAATTGCGTTTTAACTTACGTGCCCCTGGGTACTACGTGATTAAATAAAATTTTGTTTGAAGCATACTTAATTATGTTTAAAAAGAAGAACTTGTTGGGTGCGCCTTTGATGGTTCTGTGCTACCAAACCGTGTTAACTGTATTCTGTACAAAAAAACAAACACGTTACTTCCGATTTCCAAAACCTCTTGCCTTCAAAACGAGGAAGAGTGCGAAATCTTTCTTGTAAAAATGAGTTTTATTATTTGCATGAAAATCATTTAAAAAAAAAACATTTGTCATATCAATGGCTTCTCACTCACCTTCGCTTTGAAACAGGGGCTTGAAGAATTGATGATTGATCTATTATTGATGGTTATAATACTATTATTGATTCCTAATGTTTTACGGACGGATTATATTATCTTTAACTACTATTTGATTAGTAATGGTAACAGGACTGAGTGGAGTCCAATTCGGTCTGTAATCATACGAGTGATTAACAAAATCGGACGACCGCGTAGCGGGAGTCCGATTTGTTTAATCACGAGTATGATTACAGACCGAATTGGACAACACGAAGTTCTGTTACCAATTAATCATAAGTTTAACAAAATATAATAAGCTATTTGTTAAATCAAAACACAAGAAATTCGAAATTTTGTTTTGCTAGCAGTGAGAAAAAAAGCCATTTAAGCGCGCGCGTGATGGCGCGTACTGTCCAATTACTTAGGCATGACGCGTACTGTCCTATCAAACTGTCCAATTTATGAGGCTGAAATCAGGGCAGTTGATAGCCAATCAGATTGACAATTTTGTTATTGTTATGATTAATGAAGTAACACTTCTTATCTAAAACACTTATTTTGTGTCTATATTCCTTCTACTCATATTCTTGTTTGGGTCACCTACTCGGTTAGTTCCACGAGCTATTTAGGTGTCCCAAACTCTGCACAATAACTGAAAATTTCTTTTCTCTCTCAATCTCTCGATTTTATATTTTAAAGCACTAATTTGTATTAATTATTATTCTGTGTGAGTTTAAATAAAAATTGACTTGACTTGACTTGGAAGCAGTCTGACTGGTTTTTTTCGAACCACTCAAGTATAATGTTAGCGTAAAATATTCGCCTGGTGCTTTTGCTAGTGCAATAAGATGGCGTCCCTTAATACGTGCAACGCAAGAACGAAGGCATAAGCAGAACATACTGTTTTTGTAAACCAAACTAGTACTTATTATTATTGTTTTGTTTACTGGTTATTTCATAGTGACACCCAGTTCTCCAATCATAATCTCAGCCATCCCCCAGTCCTCTACCTCCATTCAGTTGTCATGGAAACCAGGTTTTGATGGACACAGCTCTATTACTGGTTACAAAGTTGAAATGAAGAAGTTGAATGAGGTCTATATCGTGTTGGCTGAAAACCTGTTGGTGATGTCATACACTGTGAGAAATCTGGATCCGTACACGACTTACCTGTTCCGGATATCAGCGCGTAACGCCATTGGCGTAAGTCCTGGTGCAAATACAAGCAACACCACCTTACAAGATGGTGAGTCGATCAGAATATAACATGTACAAGTTCTTTAAACCATTTAGTGAGGTTTATTTATTTATTTATTTTGTTGCCTAGTTTCCTTAGTATTGATTCAAGAGTCGAGGACTCATTTTAATTTTACTATAATTTTGTGGCTTTAAACTAACCGGTGGTTTTTGTCGTAGCTGTTGTTGTTCTTCACTGGGAACCACCGATTATTACCACTTTTAAGCTTATGAGAACCATGACTTTTCCTATTACTTATAGCGAAGACAGGAGTGTTGAATAACTATTCCTGTTCCATTTTAGCCCCTTCGTCTCCAAGAAACTTAACAGCAAAACCTTGGAATGCGACTGCAGTTAGTGTAACCTGGATCATCCCCGCCAAGCCTTATGGACAGATCACCTTGTACGAAATTCAGTACAATGCTGTCGGCAGTAATGACGTCACTAGTAAAGTTTTATTAGCAAATGAACTTCAAGAACTCGAGGCCTTGATTGACAGCCTGAAAGCGTTTACTAGTTATCAGTTGAGGATTCGTGCAGCCACTCTAGAGGGAATGTGGGGTAACTTTTCATCAGTAGCTGAGGCTATCACACTTGAGTCAGGTACTCCCGCCAGTCGTTATTTCTTAAGATCAGGCTGAGATTACGTTCTGGTGTATAACAATGTTAATTGCTATTTCCATTCCCTTTTTAGTTTCATTGTAACTCTTTGTCTGTTTACTGTTTTTCTCGCAGCTCCCTCTGTAGCTCCTAAAGAAGTCCAGCTTCAAGCATTGTCGTCGGATTCCATTTTAGTTCATTGGAAGGTAAATTAATTAAAACATACTTCTGTTTAAAGCATGGGTGACTTTCATATCTGCTTAAAACTATTATGAAAAAAAGGTTTACTCCGTTTTGGGAGCCTCTCCTTATATGATACATGTTACCTGTTAATTATTTTGAAGTACTCCAAGTTTGCAAACTAGGTGCGCCCCATGATAGCTGCTCCATCAAATCCTAATTTCCACCTTAAGTCACAAGTGTCGAGACTACTTTTTTGTTGCCCTAGATGATTAATTAACCAGTTCCGCGTTTAGTTATCAACAATGAACGAATTACAGTGCTGTTTATTCTGTTTCTTGCAACATTCCGCGTTTGTCCTTTTGTCTGCAGCTTGTTCCTCCACACTTGGCTAACGGTAATGTCAGGCAATATGTAGTAATTATGAAAGCGACAGGTCCACACAGAGTTTCAGACTCCAGAAACGTATCCGCAGGCACAGCAGACAATCTTACAGTAAGTGGGCTGTTTGCGTGGACAAATTACAATGTAAGCGTTCAAGCCGTTACGGTTCATCCCGGTCCCAAGAGCCCTTACAAGCAAGTCAGGACTTTAGAAGCTGGTAAGTTACGTTTCTCAGCTTTTCCTTTTGTAAAATATTGAACCTTCGTCAATTTGTTGATTTTTTGAACAAGAACGATCAGGAAAGATCTCGAAGTGTCAAAGCGGAAATCGTCAAGCCCACTCTACCGAGACAGCCTTACTTCACTTTTCTGAGGACATTTTAAACAATATGGACGAGAAGAAAATCTCATTGATAGTGTAGTTAGACATGTCGAAGGCATCTGACAGCATTCTGCTTGGGCGCCTACTTATGAAACTCTCCACATCATCGGTTTCTCCACGTCTGCTCTGACCTGGTTTGAAAGCGATTTTAGCCAACGCGGTCAATTTGTTAGGATCGAGGATGCTACGTCCGACATACTACCTGTGAATTTTGGAGTACCCTAAGGATCTATACTAGGTCCAGAACTGTTTACAGTGTATGTTAACGATCTATGGCTTGTCTCTTCCCCCTGGTGATATTACCGATGCATGTGTCGCATTAAATCTAGGTCTTTTAGAAATAACTAGGTGGTGTTGCGAGAATTCTCTTTTGATCAATCCTGCAAAGACAAAACTTTTGGTCATCGGTGTTCCTCAACTCTCGCGTAATTTGCCACGTTTGTCTATCTGTATTCTTGGTAAGGAGATAGAGCCTGACCTGTAGCCAAAGACCCGGGCGTTTACATCGATGAGACTCTTAGTCATACCGAACACGTATCAAAGTTAGTCTCGAGCTTTGTTTAATAACTTGTTCAAATTAACAGGATCAAGCTTTTGTTAGATTCAAAACCGTTACTTCTTTATAATTAATGCCTTTCTATTCACTAAACTCTTTTACTATCCGACAGTTTGGGGTAACACATCAAAATCAAACAAAAAAAATACTACAACTGGTCCAGAACTTTGCGGGAAAAATTGTCCTTGGCCTTGGGAAATTCGATCATATTTCTCAGGGCCTCAAATCACTTCGTTGGCTCTGCATCGAGGACAAACTGCTATTAAATACTGCTGTCACGGTGCATAAATGTCTGAACCATCAAGTACCCGATTATTTAAACGACAAGTTTCTATATAGATCGCAGGTCCACAATAGACAACTTCGATCTGTCGTTAATAATGACCTCAATCTGCATATTGTGGGCTTTCTAGTGGCCGAGGTCATTTGCTTTCCGAGGAGCAAAACTTTGAACTGTTCCCGTTCGTTTTGAACTGTTTTTAAACCGACAGTCTGCTGAATTTTTAGACGAATTCTACAAAGTTTAAATGTTAGACATATTATATGTAGTTTTCTTAATATAACGTTTATCCTTAATACCATTTTTCCTTTCTTTCACAAGTCTTGCTATGTTAATCTCCAACTACCTATTTTTGTACCCTTTCAGGGAGCCCAATAAACTTATGTATGTATCAGCATGTACGTATGTTTGTAACCTTTGCGTATGAGACTCACACCTTGCCAACCTTTATTTTATAGCACCCGGTCCGCCATCAAATGTTACTCTTGTATCCGACAGCCAGCATAGCATCGTAGTCTTTATAACTCCACCAGTACCAGCAGAGCAAAATGGTGTCATCCGCGGGTATACTGTGTTTTACAGGGAGACCAATTTACTACCAGAAGAAGGATATTTGTCTTTGAATACTTCTAACTCCACGGTCAGGTTTATCAACTTGACTGTATTTACTGAGTATTCATTCAAGGTGGCCGCTTACACAAGCGCAGGTCAAGGACAGCACAGTCAACTGAAGCGAATATTCTCACAGGAAGGAAGTATGTCTATTGATCTACTGCATTTGTTTCTTCATTCACTTGCTGAATTAGGGCTCATTCTCGGTGTAAGAACCTGTAAAACTCACTAGTGACGTAAAACAAAGGAAACAAAGAAGTCAACACGATAGAACCTACAAAAACAAAAATATGCTGAACTATTATTTTCGCTCTTACATGTAGGGTCCTTTTTTTGTGTACTAAAATCTTATTTCATTTGTATCAACTTTCTAAAGAGTAATTTATTGTAAGTTCACTATAGCAGAGGAGGTTCCCTTAAAGCGTTTGAGTTTCTGTTAACACAACAAGAACAATATATTATCATGTATTTCAACACAGCAAAGAACATATTTATCATTTACTTTAACTCAAACGCAACATATTATGTGTGTTAACGCAAACGCAACATATTAGGGACCTTAAGATACCCTGGACGCGGCGGTAAAGAGAACGGAGAAAGCCTGGAGTGATGACGCCGCCACCTTCGCGGGAAAAACAAATTAAGATTGAGCAGGTTGGGTTGAGTGCTCGCCTGACGAGAGAGGATAAAGTAATGCTTTCGTGTTTTAATTCCATAAGTCGTGAAGTCTTGCTTGATTGATACCTTAACGATCTTTTATTGGAAGAAAAATTTGTGCTGCCGGCTATTGCTCCAGTTTCTCTAAAAAAAAACCGAATTTCTTCGAGGGAAACTTGAGGGTATGACCGGAGTTCAGTTTATCAGCTATTTGTTGCCAGACTTTTTCGCTTTCCGTTGTTCTAGATCTTGCTTTAAAACGATATGAGACCGCTCCATCGCTGAACTGAAAGTGAACAAAATAAAATTATAAAAGTTAATAAATGAACCATGGCGTCTTGTTCAAGATCTCAATTTTCTCCGACATGTTCAAGTTTATTACAAGCCTAGATTTTTTGTTTTTCAACAATTTTTATTCGACTTCTTGTCTCTTAAAGTTTTCAAATACTATCCTAAAGCGAGAACGTTGACCCCTTAAAAACAAGCAGTTATAGTGTTACATTTGTATCGAAAGACTCAGCACTTTCATTCTCAGTTGCCGCCAAAACACTGAACCCAAAAGGCTTGAAAGCAAAAAATAAGAGGCAATCTTGAGAGAACACCTCACTAAAAACACTTAAATGTGTCTTATTAAGTAAACGGATCGAAAATCCTGTACGAAAAGCAATTTCTGCACTGAAAACAAGAAAACCAACTCACCGTTTTACGAGGCGGCCAAACTTCTAGTTTTCACCCTCGCGACTTCAGGTCGACGCTGTGGCAGTATGCTAATTAGTTCCAAGAATTGAACATTTCACTTCCGGTTGACGTCCTCCTCGGCCGCGTCCAGAGTATCTTAAAGTCCCTATTATGATGTATGTTAACGCAACTCATTATAATTATTATGCATGTCAACACAACAAATGCAAAATATGATGTATGTTAACGCAACAAACCCAATATAATATGCATGTTAACACAACAAACGCAAAATATGATATATGTTAACGCAACAAACCCATTATTAATAATAAGCATGTTAACACAACAAACGCAAAATATGATGTATGTTGACGCAACAAACCCATTATTAATAATAAGCATGTTAACACAACAAACGCAAAATATGATGTATGTTAACGCAACAAAGCCATTATAATATGCATGTTAACACAACAAACGCAAAATATGATGTATGTTGACGCAACAAACCCATTATTAATAATAAGCATGTTAACACAACAAACGCAAAATATGATATATGTTAACGCAACAAAGCCATTATAATATGCATGTTAACACAACAAACGCAAAATATGATGTATGTTAACGCAACAAAGCCATTATAATATGCATGTTAACACAACAAACGCAAAATATGATGTATGTTAACGCAACAAACCCATTATTAATAATAAGCATGTTAACACAACAAACGCAAAATATGATGTATGTTAACGCAACAAAGCCATTATAATATGCATGTTAACACAACAAACGCAAAATATGATGTATGTTGACGCAACAAACCCATTATTAATAATAAGCATGTTAACACAACAAACGCAAAATATGATGTATATTAACGCAACAAACCCATTATTAATAATAAGCATGTTAACACAACAAACGCAAAATATGATGTATGTTAACGCAACAAACCCAATATAATATGCATGTTAACACAACAAACGCAAAATATGATATATGTTAACGCAACAAACCCATTATTAATAATAAGCATGTTAACACAACAAACGCAAAATATGATGTATGTTAACGCAACAAAGCCATTATAATATGCATGTTAACACAACAAACGCAAAATATGATGTATGTTGACGCAACAAACCCATTATTAATAATAAGCATGTTAACACAACAAACGCAAAATATGATGTATATTAACGCAACAAACCCATTATTAATAATAAGCATGTTAACACAACAAATGCAAAATGATTTATGTTAACGCAACAAACTCATTATAATATGCATGTTAACACAACAAACGCAAAATGATGTATGTTAACGCAACAAACCCATTATAACATCCATATTAGCACAACACACGTAGCGTATTTTGGTATGTGTCACATTTTCTCCAGCTCTGCGTACACATACAAAAAAGCTAAGCGGCCTCGTCGCCGCTGTCTGTCCGTAAATATAACTAACGTTTATGGATACCGGCAAGCGTCTTCCATACTTTGTCAACGATAACTCGTTAGAAGAATTATAGTAGGGGAAATTAAACTAATCAAATACAGAGAAATATTTTGAATGAATAATAATGACTTTTCAGACAACAAGCAAAACACATTGTTATGTTAAAAAACTTAACACAGCGAACATTTCTTTTACTTTCAGTTCCTGGTGAAATTGACGACGTCACAGTAACAGCTGCAACTCACGATGCTATAACGGTCAGATGGAGTCCTCCAAACAAACCAAACGGTCAAATTTTGGAATATATGATCATATACAACAGTACTGGCGGCAAATTATCCGGCAGCAAAACAACAGAAGGTAACAAATTGACAGCAAGCATCCAAAACTTGATTCCAAATACAACCTATTCAATCTTTGTGACGGCAAGAACAAGTAAAGGATTTGGAGGACAAGGGACATCTGTGCTCGCTCGAACTCGTAAGTATCCGAGAAATTAAGCAGTCAATCAATTGAAAGATACAGATAGATAGTTTATCAAGTTTACTAGACTAAACTATGTTAAAAACTTTACAAAAATTCAAATATAAAGCAGGAAATGTAAATGAATTGATAGAATAGGTATCTTCTTACTGAACAAGCATTAAGAAGATAACACATGAAAAACTATGATTAATATGCGATTCAAAATTCGATCGGTTATTATCCTGTTTGCAATGACAAGTATATCTTTAAACGCATTTAAAACTAAAATTCGATTGGCCATTGTCCTATTTACAATGACTACGTTTCAAACAATTATTCATTCTGTTCGTTTTATTTTATGTAGGCGTTCTGTATAAGCACACCGAAGAGTGTATACGTGTTCGGTGGAGGTAGAAGATGACGTTGCTTATTTGATTGCTAATTATAGTGTATAGTTGTTCAGCGTATACTTTTTATTTGTTTTTTCATGTACTTAATGTGTAATTTAGGTTATTATATGGCTGAGTCTGTTTTCGCCATGCGATTGGTCAATTTGCGGTCCGTAACTTGCTATACGGACCAAAATTTCAAAGAAAATGCTCATTTCGGAGCTCTAAACCTCTTTACCTCGGAAAAAAAGGTTGAAATTAAGTTACAAGACGTCTATCAAGCTTGAGTACTTAGATTTTGACTTTGTCCTTCAACATTTTAAACTGTGTTTATTTGTGAACGAAGGCGATGAAGAAACTAACTCGTCATCTTATCGAAGAGGATTCTAGTCAGTGTTTGAAGACGAAAATCGACTGGCAGAGATTCGAGATGTTTTGCCTAAGAGAAAATGAGTAATTCCTTCGACAAATATGATAACAAACATGCCTGCACGCGATCATCTTGACGAGCTTCTTTGTCATTTGCAGTGTTTTTTCAAAGACCAACAAAAGAAAGATAGAAGCGACTCCGAGCCAGACACAATGTCCAGTTTTCAAAAGACTCCAGCGTCACATAGGCGAGTGAATACTTACAGTGCTCTTAGTTTTGACCGAATATACTTAAAAATCTGTCTGTAAACCCTGAGGACTGGGATGTTGACTTTGCCTTTCCAGATTTTAACCTAGCTTTGTTCGAACGAGAATGATACTGATGTAGAAACTGAATCGTAACCTTTCCGTGGAAGAAAATATGGTCCGTGTTTGAAAATTTTAACGCCGGTCGCGCTTGAAGACGAGAATGAACTGGCAGAAATTCGAGAGGTTTTCCCAAAAACATTAACGAGCGAATCAAAAGACTCCAGCGTCACATTAACGAGTGAATACTTTCAGTGCTCGTAGTTTTGACTGTAACTCCTGAGGACTGGGATGTTGACTTTGCCTTTCCAAATCTTAACCTAACTTTGCTTTAATGAGAACGAAGCTGATGTAGAAACTGAATCGTAAACTTACCAAGGAAGAGAATGCTAGTCAGTGCAGATCACAATTGAAGACGAGAATGAACTGGCAGAAAGAGAGGTTTTCCCAATAAAACAGTTTACGAGCGAATCCTTCGACAATGACAACAAACTTACCTTGAAAAGCTTCTTTGCCTTTTGTATTGTTTTTTTTTTACAAGGAAAAGCTGAGGAAAGATTTAAAGGACTTCCAGACAGACACAGTGTCCGGTTTCCAAAATACTCCAACGTTACATTAAAGAGCTAAAACTTACAGTGCTCTTAGTTTTGACCGAATAAACTTTTTCAACATGGCGAGTTTGTTTTTTTTTTCTCGGAAAGCCTTTGTTATGTGTTATTGTTTTCGTGCGCCAATAAAAACTTTCTTTTTTGATGCCTGTCAAATGACTGTCAATTCGTGCGTCCTGGACTTGTTTCCGGTCCCCCAAACAGGAAGAAGCCATATAATAAACATCTTATTAGCCTCGTTGTTTCGGTCCGTACTGTAAATTACGGATCCTCGTTTTTTTCCATCGATGGAAAAAAACTCGGTCTGTAATTTACAGTACGGACCGAAAACTCGGCTAATAAGAGGTATTTATCGACTGCCAGGTGTGTCAGTTACTGATTATCAATTTATCTAGTTATCTGTTTCGGCGAACAGCTTAGGTGATATAGCACTTCGGCAATCTGCGAGGCTACTTAAGTTTTCGGCTGACAAGTATCCTTACAGGACACAAGAGGGTAAATTATCTTGCAGACATTCGAGCCAATCAGGATGATACACAGGAAGCCCATGGTGAAAAACTGCGCATGAGTATCTCGTTAAAAGGCAGATAAAGGTGGTGTAAAATGTCACGAGATCTTTGAACGCGATATGTTCCCTTCTCAAACTCATTAATAATTCATTAAGAAAATACAAAGGAAATTAATGTTTAATGAGTGTTTGGAAATCGGATGAAACACTGCTTAGTATTTGCATCCTTAATTTGTCCTTCAAAAATGATTTTGTTTGAGAAGAAATATCAAACATTCGACAAAGTGTTTCATCACCAGATGAAACACCTCGAAGTTCGTCAAAAATACTCCGCTGCGCGTCGTATTTTCAACTCTCTTCTCGGTGTTTCATCTGGTGATGAAACACTGCATCTCATGTTTGATATATTACATCTTAACTTTCCAAGAACGTATAACCAGCTGACACAATTTTTGAAAACTCGGCAACTTTACAGGTCGAGCAACTTTACAGTAGACACATCGTCAATTGCTTTCATTGAGAATTACAGGCGGAAACTTCCAAAAGGTGGGATCGGTCCTGGCAAACGATGTCCGTATTTCTTTAAGCTTTCTCTCGTTTAGTAGGAACTTTCTTACCTTAGACTTAGCAACTAAGTCATTTACAGCGTCCTGGATCTTGCCTACTTTATTCTTGTCGACAGGTTTGGCGATTATAGTGAGTGTCGTCAATATACTTCCAGAGATCCATGTTGTTGGCGCTGCAATCATCTATCTTGAGAGTGATTAACCATTGTCCCAGTTTAGTCCCCTGTGGGACTCCGGCCAGTACCTCACTCCAGTCTGGCCTACTAACTCCTTCTGTATTTGAACCTTTGTTTATAACCTTTTAAAAGTGTCGACAATCCAGCAGGTGACGCTATGTGGGATGTCTAGAGATGCCAGTTTCCTATCAAGGATTGTACGATCAACCTCATCAAAAGCCTTGTTAAAATCGAACAACACCACTCTAACCGTTAATCCTGTCCCATCGCTATAATTGTTTTTGTTCACGAATAAAGCATACTAATTAGTGCTTGTGTCCTGGGGATAGCGCTATACTGATAGTTAGCGATTTTTTTTCAGCACGGTTAGTTTGACATGGCCCTCCACAATTAACTATTCAACTATGTTCGATGAAAGCAGCGTCAAGGAAATAAGGCGGAGATAGATAAAAGGGCATTATTGTGAAGTAAATATTACCTGAGTTCTAGCGCGCGTAGCGGAGCACCATGATTAATAAAATTTGGTTATCTATGCATCCAATGAAGATTTGTTGCGACAAAATTGTCCCTCCGTACGTCCTTCATTTTAGCGGATATGAAATGTTGCATAGATTAGTGTGGAAGGCATATACAATTCGTGTCTAACTTCGTATTGTTACGGTCAAGTGACAGTTATCAAAATAGGGTATCCTCTAACCAGTGTCACCTGAATGTACTGCGGTCCTAGGTATAAAACTCATTAAGGTGACGTGTGTTTTAAGTTCTCTGTTTTCAATTGATCACAGGTTAAGGTTCATTTTTTTGGGAGGAATTCAGTTTGCTTCTTGCTTATGATGAAAGTTGTACCACTTCAGAAAGATGTTTCTGAAAAGATCCCTCGAGAGCTTCGCTTTTGACCTTGGCTAGATCTATATATTCGAGCGCCAGCTCGGACAGTTCATCTTGTCTTTCAATGGCCAATGCTCAGAGACCATGACCCTGGTTGGGGTGGCTTCTGGATGCTATGCCTTGCCAAAGGGCAAACTGGAGCTATTGATGCTTTCGATGAAAGATTGTTGAACCAAAAGAAGTACATTGATTGTTTATCTCTTGTGGTCTTACGTGGCATATTATTGACAAAATTACGAGAAGGCGAGTAGTCATACCAAATTTGAGGAATCTACATTAGATCAAATATTTACCTCTGATCCTGACATTATGAAGATTACTCTAGGCCCGCCATTGCGTGGAAACGATCACTTAACAGCATTCCTGAAAGTGAGATTGTATGATGACAAGGAATTTTAGCCTTCAAAGAAATTTAACTGGTCAAAATGGGACGTTCCTTGATTAATCAGTATGGTCAGCAGACAGACTGGACCTGTTCTGAAAGGGCTCTTGGCTTTATAGACACTATGTGCGGCGAGCTGGAAAGTAAAATACTGCACGTTATTGAGCATTGTGTGCCAATTTCGGTACAAAAGACTACAAAAGACGCAAAGTCCCATAGGAAAGCGACTGGAAAAGCTCGAAACTCCGTCGTGCTCGAAAGGAAAGGGACATTGCATGGCGTAGTTTTGACACATCTCCTTCAAACTTCAACCTTACTTCTGCCCTTGAAGCTTAGGACAAATACAAACTTGTGGAACGGAAACTTAAAGAGTGCTATGATCAAAAAGTTGCCGAAAAAATGAAAAATAATCCAAGCAGATTTTTTGCGTATTTAAGGACGTAGAATGCGTGGTGACTTATTGAGATCTTCAAATCATGAACGGCTTAGAAGATTATGGCCAAAATAAGGTTCAGGAAAAATTCTGCTTACCAAACTCGCAATCTTCTTCTGTATCATTCTTTGAGGTCAGCGCATGACTTCTTTAGTAATAAAGTTATAATTATGAAATATTGGAACCAGCTACCATTAGGAGTCCGATGTTCAGCAAATATCAACGCCTTTAAGGCCGGTCTCGATCGTTTTAAATCATCAAAACCTGATTCAAATGGTTTCTGGGAACAATCGGTACAAATCTTTGATAGAATTAACGCCAAAGTGAACACGTGAATTATTTATTAGCTGATCGCGGTGTTGCAATGCGGCAAAATATCTTGTTTTATATATTTTTTTGCTTTATATGTACTGTACACATATACCTTAATCTTAGCTTTTTACAATATTAAATTATCTTCGTTTTTCATTCGCGATTATAAATAGTTTTGTAAATAGTTTTTATCATTTGAGATATCATGAAGTGATAACATAAAGTTCTTATCTTATTCCCCCTATTCGCACCCTGGGGACCCCGAGGATGGGAGTAGCCCCTCCACACCACAAACACAAATCTAACGTCAATCGATCAATCATTCCCTTTACCACAAATTGTTGTTGCATGATGACTGGATGCGCCCCGTAGCAAATATCCTCCCTTTGTCTGTTTGTCAGTTAACGCATTTACCTTATGAAAGTACATCATGATTTATTTGTGGTAAAACTTAGTGTCAAGTTGGATACAAATGTGAAGCATCTTTATGAACAAACAAATGAAAGCTTAAGTAAAAGCGTTCCATACTTATGACATCATCTACACATTTGTAGAATTAAACTTTTATTGCTATGTTTCAAACACAGGTCATCTTCCGCCGCCAGTTACCATGATAACTACTTCGCAAGGCACTGTTACTGAAGACTTAACAACTGCGGGGGTCCCTGCGGGGACAGAGAAGAGGACAGGTGTAATAAATGAGGAGCAGATGATCATCATAATTGTCTTTGTGGCGCTTATTGTCCTGTTTATCATTGTGGTTGCTGTTTATTTTCTTTGCATTAAGCGATGGAAAGAAGAAAAAGGTACATTATCTTTCCTTTTTAGGATAGAACTTACAGCAGGAACTTTTATGTAAGTCATTTTGAAAAAAAAATGTTACATAACATAACAAACTTTATTTTCACTCGAATTTTAGAGAGGCTAGCGAGCTAATATCTTCGAGCTGACACCACATAAAAATACATAAAATACATTATGAATAATAACAAAACAATAATGAAAAAAGCACTTAAAAGATAATTTTTTACAGTTTTAAGGACAAGTAGTACAACTAGTGTGAAAAAAGTCAGGCAGTGCATTCCACTGAAAAGTGAGAAAAGGAGTTAAGACCATAAGTAATTGTTTTAGGTTTACCAAGTCAAAAGGATGTAGTTGCCACGAAGATCATAGGAAGATGACCGAAGTTAAAAACATATAAGCAGGAAAATGAGTGAAAAACAAACTCTTATATAACAAGATGAGGGAATTCTGAACGCGTTTGTTACGCAACGAAGTAGAGTTGACTTTTGAAAGAAGAGTGGTGTATGGAGACGAGTAATCTCCAAGTATAAATCTAAGGATTCTCTTTATGTAGTGCTTCAGAATGTTTGTTCTTTTTCGCTCTTATAAATTAGCTTGTGTGGATCTACTAACAGTCGGTAATTTAAAAAACAAGCGGAAACAAGCAAACGAATCGCGCTTAATCACGCCACATTTTCACCAAGTCATTACCAAAGAAGAGGGCAATTGAGTACCCAACATACAAAATTTTTGACGCAATGTAAAATGTTAATATTTCTGTAACTGCTCTCAAAACGCGAGACTATACAACCAGTGTATGACTTCCTACTAGCTCTTTTATCACCAAAAAATATAAATGCTCATTAAAAATTAAGAATGTTCATTAAGAATTGAAGGTTACTGTCTTGATTCTACGAACACTGCATTCTTTTATAGCAGATTTATCTTTAGGAGCAGGGTTAGCCCTTTATTAAATCCATTTCTGTCTTTCATTGTCTTTACCTCGTGTTTCCGCGGCGACTGATGTTACGGTATGGGTAACGTAATTGTTGTTGTTGTTTTAATCGTTAGGTATGTCTTATGCAAGAGCGAGAAAACCTCGTGATTTCAGAGATCCTGCATTTGAAATGGAGAGGTGAGTGAAGCCAGCCCCTGGTCACGTGTACATTTTGTTAGAAACCATTAATTCTTTGACACTTTTTTAGTTAGACTTCTGCCAAACGAACGCACTTACAAGAAGAGGACGCATCTTTCTAAACCCTAAATTCAAATACTTCTATGTAATCTTTTATTAAAAACACTTAGCAAGCTATACTGCTCGCATAATAGAACTTGCCAACATTTTAAATCAATTATGTAAACTAACTCCTTCCATTGATTGTAAAGTTGTTCAGATGTGACTGGTCGCTACAATAAGCTCACAGGATCATTCTCCTCTGTTCATTCGACGTAAACTATCAAGGTAACTAAAACGCAACGAAACATACTATTTCAAGATAGTAACCCTGTTCTAAATAGTGGTTGAAATATTATATAAAGTCGGTAATAAATCAGTAAACTAGGAAATCGGTCCTTTTTTCCTAAACTGTTTAACTCGCTTTAAAAAGTGACGCAAATTAATGTAATAGCGTAGTCAGTTTGGTAATAATACATTCAGATCTTTGCCATTATAACAGTTGCACTGAACAGAACGACACGGAAGTAACGTATAACAATAAATAGGAGTAGTCTTCTTTTAGAGGTAAAAATTGAAAAGAAATTTTCATTTTAAAGTACATAAAGCTGTTAAGGTATGATGGGTTAAAGCCATGTTTAATTGAAAAAAGTAACTTAACCTCCTAAAAATAAATTCAAAATATGTAAAGTTAAGATCTACTGCATCTAATCAAAATGACAGTTAAACAAATGGAATGTTTTTGTTGTTATTAGACCACGGCTTGACTTACATGAAGAGCCAAGTGTAGCCGATACCAACTATTCCAGCGACTCCTTTGATTCTGACTGGGATACCAGTGTAGCTTCACCTCGGTCAACCTGTTCACCGGTCAATGAGAACCCACAATTTGCAAATTCAGCGGATTCCACAGGTCTACGAACATCAAGTCGCCCGCCGTTGGTTAACTTACCCAACAAGAGGATTTCGGTCGACTCTCAGGGCAGTCAGCCCTATGCTTCTGTAGAGGAGCTTGGAGGGGGATTTTCGAGCTTCGGACCTCTTCCCCCGGTAGAGTTCCGTTCTTTTCCCACCGAAGAGAGGGAAACTGACTTACAGAAACAAGAAAGCCTTACTGATGCTGTAACATTGCCAGGAAGTCGGAAATCCTTTACAAATCAGCTCTTTAAAGCCGCCCATGTCTCAAAAGATGTCGATCATGGTGACGAGGGCACGCGGTTCGAGGGGTTTCAAGAACAGGATATTTCAGGAATAGAAAATCGTGGATATGATTCTGATGAGGAGTTGAATCAACACCTCGCGAAAAGTACAGTAAAGCCAGGTTCTTCCTATGACGTGAATAAATATCCAGAAAATCTGGAAGAGTTGTACGCAAAAGTGGACAAAAGCAAGAAGAAAGCGTTTCGTAAGAAAGATACCTCGACATCAATTGGCACTGACAGCCAGCAGTCGGTAAAGCAGGAACCCGTTTCACTGAAGGACGGAGAGACTGATAAAAGCAAGAAAACATTAAGGAAGACTTCTCGTGACCCACAAGGAAACAAAGAATCCGGTCAAAAAGGAGAGATAAGTCATGATCCTGTGCTTGTTTACGATGAAAGGACTAACTTGTAAGTCAATGGTCAGAACAAAACTAGCGTGTTATTTTTCACGCCAAAGTAGTATTGAAAACGTTTGCCGCTGCAATACAATACAATAGAATAGCAAATTTATGCTTGGTCTCTGTCTCAGAAATATAGATCGAAAGAGTTAAATGAAGTTGACAAGGATTTCTTTTGTTTGTTTATTTCCCTGGAGACGTATGGGCTTCAAGTCTATATAGCAGCAAAATTTATCGTGACCTTTCCAAAAGTGAAAGTATTAATAATTACGTTGTTTAGGGATTTTTAAAAGCGTTTTAAGTAATCTGCTTCTATTGCTATATTTGGTAACTGGTTACCGAAATAACGTATTTCAAACGTGTGTCATTGTCATGGTTTGCTGTTGTTTGTGGCCTATTTGCTCTTTGTTTGCTTCGTATAATGTGTGCTAAGATTTTACCAAACTATGAAATGCAGTTTTTTGTTTTCGTGGGTTGTAAATTTCCTACAATGTCAATTTTTTTAACAAATTGTACGTAAACTTCGTCAAGTTGTGAAAGAATTCGTGCAGGGTTTAACTGAATTTACGAAAATGAAATTTTAATTAATAAAACGTGTCTGAGAGAGGATTTGTTTGGTTGCCTTTATTACCCACCACGCTCTATTCGTTGGCTTGCGTGTATTGTCTAGGTTGATGTGCTTTACGTGTATTTATCTGCTAGCAGGTCATTGTATGTGAATTTGTCTGCCTGCATGTCATTCTACACGAATTTGTCTGCCTTCATGCGATTGTACGTGAATTTTTCTCCCTGAATCTCATTGAACGTGCCTGTCTGCCTGCATTTATTGTACGTGAAATAATCGCCAGTGTGTCATTGTATGTGAATTTGTCTGCATGCATGCCATTGTACGTGAATTTTCTACCTACATGTCACTTGCAATTATGCCTGCGTATATTGTACGTGACTTCAATATATTTGCTTGCATATCATGGTATGTGAATTTGCCTGCTCGTATGACATTGTACGTGCGTTTGTTTGTCTTTCTGCATAGCATTGCACGTGTGTCTGTCTGTCTGCATGTCATTGTACGTGAATTTGCCTACTTACATGTCATTATTGTATGTGCACTTGTCTGCCTGCTTGTCAATGTGAGAGAATTTGTCCGCCTGCATGTATTGTCTGTGGATTTGTCTGTCTGTATGTATTAACTATAAATTTGTCTACTTGTGTGTACTATCCTGGAATTTACCTGCCTGCAGGTTATTTTAGTTTACCTGCTTGCATTAAACTTTCATTTGTCTGCATGCGTGTATTGTACGTGAATTTGCATTGTGTTTTGCGCGCGCTTGTCAGCAAGCGCTCTGACGGACTGACAGACTCACTGACCGTGACGTGACTTACCGAATTTTGACCTTTTCTTTTTACCCTAGTGAAACTGAATCGAAACCCAAATTCTCGGAAAACGCAGCAGTTGATCAGCACGATGCCAGGAGTTCTGGAGCAAGCTCCTTGTCTAGTGGCACGATTGTATCTGATCTGAACAGCTGTGGAACGCCCACCCCTCTCATGAATTTGAAGCATCAGCCAGTATCAGAAACAGTTCAGGATCCACCTCCACCTTCACCGTACACTCTAAGAAACAAAAAATTCTCAGTAGGCTCTGCGGACAGTTTTTATGATGAACCCTACTCCAGTTTGGAGGAAATCGATGCCGGAATCACCCCTCTTTCCAGTCTGCCACCAACGCACGAGCCTGTTGAATATAGCGCTGGTCCAGAAGAAGAGCTCAAGATTTCCAATGTTATTCCAAATAATCTCAATACTTACGGAGTCATGGACAAACCAGAAGATGAAGCTGTTGTTATGGAGGTCAAGGAGATTGAAAATCCTCCCAGTGCTGAGGATAATACCATCCAAGATTTTGACGAATTGCTTAACAGTCTTCTTTTCAATGAACAATCGGCACCTGAGCCCAGTAAGAATCCTGGCCCGTTCACACTGGAATTTCACGACCTGGATTCCACGATATTGATGTTTTAGTTTAATACAGATCTGAAAACTGATGTTTTGAGTAGCCTAAAACATGAAAGTGGTTACGAATAAAGTAGGGAGACAGTTCTTCAAACTTACCGTTACTTTGCTACGAAATTCGTCATCAGAGAGCACAAATCGTAGAAACTGTCGGCTGTTTCGCTTTCATGATCGACTCAAAAGCTGAATTGTCAGAATAAAAGGTTATGATTACTGTCCAGACTATCCAAAAGGACACCACCATTCAGAAGGAAGAATTTTCTCTGTTTCGACAAAATTCTTACTGTCCCTTTTACAAAAAACTTTCTTTTGTAACTTTCCTTCCTCTCTAATACGAACAAAGGACACTAAATCGGAGACCCAGATTAGATTATTACTTGTGTGTAGCCTGAATGTCAGACGATTACTTCGAGTCGTTTTTATACTAATACCGTCCAGTGACGTCACCACTCCTTTGCTCTAATTCATCCAAAAGTAAAACACGATTTTCAACTGGCAAACAAAGAAAAATCGTTTGTAAATGTCTACATGATACAGAATTGCTTGCCCTTTTTGACTATAGTTCATGTTTAACGTTTAAACTGTCAACTGGATGCGGTACTCTGGACGAATCTGTTGTAATTCAATAATCAAACTCGACTGCAATCAAGCAATGTAATAAGCTTAAATGCACACAAGGAACACTTCAAAAGCACAAAACTTCGCTTTAATTGAAAATCCTTAACGAAGAAGAAAGAAAACAAGAAATAAAGCTTACAGAATCATTACACTTGACGGTGCAAATGACAAGAAGGTCGAATTGAGCTTATACATGTAGAAACTTCAATCTCAGAAAACTTTGCATACACAAATTCACTGACGAAACCACAAAGCCGCTCTAAATGAAAAACCTACCGACTCTCCTCAATGGTTGTCTTTACACTAGGCTGTTAAGTAAGACTTAAGAGCCGCCAAGTTTTACTTAACCAAACATTCGTGTGTGAAGGCCTAAGTAAAATCTCAAGTAACTTTGGTTTCCATCTCATTACTGCGCTTTTCACAAACATGCGAACTCTAAAGTTCAAAAGCCGCCCTCACAATTGCGTTTTTCGCTGCCGTCAATCATAATTACGATCACAAGCAACGAACCTTGAAACACAGAAACACCCAAAACTGATCGAAATCCACCAATGGCAAATCCCATACATGACCTTTTGAACCCGTTGAAGTAAAGTTTTGTTTTCTAAGTGGTCCGCTAAGATGATTGACGGCAGCGAAAAACGTAATCGTCAGTTGGCTTTTGAATTTCATAATTCGCGTGTTTTTGAAAAGCGCAGTAAAGTCGGAAAGTTGAAACGATTCAAGAAAGTTTCAAGCGACTTTAAAACCATCCTTATGACCGACTTAGCTGACTTGCGGTTTTGCGGTTTCTTGAGCTTTGAGAAAGGCGAGACATGTCAATCAATCTAAATTTTGTTGCGAGGGAAAATAACCTGAAGTAGAAAAGAATCGGTTGTGTGTGAAGCTTTATTTTACTTGAAGTAATTAAAATTTACTTGTCTTGAAATATTTCTTATTTAGGCTCTAGTGTAAATACTACCAATGATTCTTCATTCGTAGTTCAATTTAACAACTCATAGTTTCGAAGACGATGGCAATTTTGCTGTTTACGATAAAGGTTGTCGAAATTTTTTAACTCCACGCAAGCATGCCAGGCGTGCGATCCGATGAATATCAAATGACAATCCCACTAAAGTTTCTCATAATTATACACAACCATGCGAACGTTTGGACAATCAACCATCCAATCAAAATCACTACCCGTGTTTTGGGTAGTGAAGTCGCTGGACGGCATTAACGACCGGTCGATTCAGACGTTGCTGAGAGGAGAAAACGACTCGAAGTACTCGTCTGAAATTCAGGCTAATTTGTGTGTGGAATAAAATATCCTGTTTTTGGTAACATATTCTTAACTAGGGATTTCAACGGTAAAGTAACATACCATAACATTTAATCAAAAGGAAGAAAAGGAGAGCTGTTTATTTACTTGCGTTAACATGTGTTGTTCGTTTTGTTTCAAAACTGATTCGAGGTCTAGATGTGCAATGTAGTGCGCTACTGATGTGTCTTAGTATTGTATATTAATCAATTTGGATTCAGTTAAAAGACGGTTGTGGGCTTAGGATTAACTGAACACTTAGTAATGTTATCCTGATGCCCAGTCTGGTATGGACAGTCTTTTCTGTCTCTTGGCTACAGTCCTTCATGGACAAGTTCAACTGTCCAATTATTATTCAGTCGAGTGCTTAATTTTCTTATTTAAAAGGTTCAAGTGATTGTTCATTGCCCGTGTTTTAATATATTTTTGGTAGTGGTAAGTTACCTGCATTATTTATTTACTTTGTTACTGCGATTTTGTAAATTTATCGTGAACCATATTTAAAAAAAGAGCTCCTTGTGAATGCACTTGTATTTATTCATAAAAGATAAGGCTTACTGGGCTGTTTTAGGTTATATTATAGCTATAGGGTCTCCTGAAATACATGCAAACTGAATTTGACTATCAGAGAATAGTCATGTAATGTATTTTTCAAAACATATACAGGTAAACGCAGCCATCAAGTGGCTCGGTTTTACTGAAAAAATTCTTTGGACCAAGTACGCTCGCTCTGATGCATGAGTATGGTAACGCGTTTTCTTTGTAGTCTTTCCCACACGCTTCTACTATGAAAGCCCATTTATTGCTTACAAAAATAAACGTCATTTACTAAATCGACTGTATGTTAGCCCGTTGCATGAAATGAGAAGCGACCAAACACGTGAAACTCAGTTTCATCAGAAGCTCACAAGGCAACCACACGTTTGCTAACCACTCTTGGGTAAATCGTTTCTGTATATGGTGACTCCAAAATTGCTGGTCGGCAAGGTGGCTCGATACAGTTTTTCAGGATCAAGACCTCCCAAGTTTGAGCATAAACTACGTTGCCGTAAACAAAGATTGTGAAAAATTGCCACCACAGTTGTATTAGATAAAGATGAAAATTTGTTATGATCAGGGCTGCAACGACATCGGAGTTGTCATAGCAACGAAATGACGTTATTAGCTATTTTGCTTGAAGCAGTATTTCTCGGCACTGAGAACTGTTCTTCCAAAATCGTTCACGGGAGCTTTTTCCTCTTATAGCGGCCTCGATGTTCGTGAAGTTTAAGCGGAATCTGTAAGAGCGTTATCGAGAGATTTTAGGATACATTTTTTATGGTTAGATACACAGTAAAAAATGGGCAATCTTGATGTTTGGCCGTTATCTGTAGAAACCTAATTGCTTTTGACATGCAATTTCACGTCATAGTAGTTTCAATCTTTTTAAAAACGTGTGTGAAAGATCACGGAGATAGCTCCAGTTGATTGCTAGAAAGAAAGGTTTGATAAGTATGTATCGAAGCGCCCTTGTTAGCGGTTTTGTAAACATTTTGGTCTTCTTTAACAATTTAGCGAATAATTTTTGAACCGCTTGATAGATTTTTTAAAAATTTAAGATTCTTAAGATTAACCTTCCTTTTATATGTCCTTTTAGTTTTAAGATAATTGATATATTGTAAGGTAGTAAAATAAGGGCTACAATTCGCTAATTTTTTATCCGAAGTTTCGTCATTACAAGTGAAAGCTTCTCATTATTCAAGGTATTGTCTCCAAGTTTCATTTTCACGTGAACAGCAGTAACTAACAATGCATTTGAAAGATGCAAAAATGCTAGCTATTGTTGTGCACGGAAATATGGAACTTGGAGACAATACCCTGAATAATAGAGGTTCTCACTTGTAAACACAAAATTTCTGACAAAATATTAGCGAATTGTAGCCCTTATTTTACTGCCTTACAATATATCAATAACCTGGAAACCAAAAGGTCTTATAAAAAGAAGGTTAATCTCAAGAATCTTTAATTTTTAAAAAAATCTATCGAGCGGTTTAAAAATTATTCGCTAATTTGTTAAAGTAGACCACAATGTTTACAAACCGTTAACAAGAGCGCCTCGATACATACTAATCAAATCCTTCTTTCTGGCAATCGGCTGGAGCTATCTCCATGACCATGGGAGGGGGCGTCTACAGAGTGACTTCGCGCGTTTATCGCAATAATTAACACCTTCATAAGCCTATTTAAGGCTTCTGACATTTTTAATGTTTTTCAAGTTTTGATAAAGATGGCTGACAGGCATCGAAACTGTCAGCATCAATAAGACGTTAAGACTGGCTATGTTTTAAGAACATTTAAATCGACTGTTTAACTTCACTAGCCTGATGAATTTCTTCAAGGATTTCCGTAAGGCGCTTACAAATTTCGCTTAAACTTCACGAACATCTTGCTGAGTAGTGTAATGCTTGGATCATCTGGTATCTTCATCAGCAACTGCGGAGTCCCTAGAACCAGAAGTTTTGTTTTGTCCTGGTGAATGAGTAGACTGTTTTTGCAACACCATGCGGCTATGTTCCGAAGATCTTCTGTCAGCTGAGCTGACAGGAAAGGGTTGTTTTATGGCTAAAACTGAAATAGAAAATGCTTTTCGAATAATACCAATTCGTCCTGAGGATTATGGCTTGTTGGGAATGCAATGGCAGGATTTGTATTATTATGATAGGTGCATGCCCATGGATTGCTCATTCTCAAGTCTGACCTTTGAAACTTTCAGTACCGCATTGGAATGGATTGCCCATAGTAAGCTAAACATGTCATATATTCTGCACCTTCTCGACGACTTTCTTTAAATCGCTTGTTCTAAACAGTTGTGTCAAATGGAGCTCGATTTATTTTTGTCGCTTTGTTCCTACCTGGGTATTCCCATGGCACCGGAGAGAACGTATGGCCATGTAACCACTCTTTCTTTTGCTGGCATTGAGCTGGATTCGGAAGCTCCCTTATCTCCGAATTTTTACAACGCAAAAAAGTCACCCTTAAGGAGGTTCAGTCTCGTACAGGCTTGTTAAATTTTGCCTGTTCTGTGGTAAGACCTGGTCGTGCTTTTCTGCGGCGGCTAAGCGATCTACTTGGGTATTCGCTCTCCTGGACACAAAATCCGGCTCAATAAGGAGGTCAAAGAAGACCTTAAATTATGGTTTGTCACTTTTGTACCATTTTAATGGTCGGTCATTTTTCTTAGAAGAGCATTGGCTCAGCTCCACGAAAATTAACCTCTTTACCGATACTTCGGGTGCCCTTAGGTTTGGTGCAATTTTTGGGTCTCATTGGTGCTATGGGAAGTGGCCACCACGTTGGGAACACAAGGATATCGTCGTCTTGGAATTTTATCCCATTGATCTGAGTCTGCACCTGTGGGGCGAGGCTATGTGCAATCGGTGTCTCTTATTTTTTACGGACAATGAGTCTCCTGTACACGTCATCAACAAACAGTCTTGTAAGGATAAATCATTAATGGTTGTTGTTCGGAAACTTGTCTCCATTTGTTTACATTACAATATCGTTTTTAAAGCTAAGCATATTCCAGGTGTTCACAAGCTCGTTGATGCTCTGTCTCGCTTGCAGGTGCACAATTCTACACGGTTGGCCCCAGCTTATATGGACCCCTTCCCCACGGAGGTTTCCCAGTATCTGCAGCCTCAGAGTTGGGTAACATAGCAACTATGCTTGCCTCATCTAGTCTATAGCCTTCTTCGATTCCGACTTACAAGAGAGCGTGGAGGTTGTTTCACCAGTTTTTGAATGCAATTTTTCAGACAGTTTCAACAGATTTGCCTATCTCTCCAAATACCATAGCTCTTTTATCGGTTATATGTTTGATAAGCAGTATGCACCTTCAACCGTTAGCTCCTATGTTTCGGCTTAAGGATACTCTCATAAATTTCTTTGTTTTGATGATCCCATTAAAGCCTTTTTTGCTATCCAAATGCTCAAAGGCTACCATAAAAAGGGTTCTCGTCCCGATAGCCATCTTCCTATCACCCTCCCAATCTTGCACAAATTACTTGATTCGGCGTGTAATCTGGCTATTTATAGGTATCAAGTTTGTCAATTCAAGGCCATGTGTTCGACAGATTTTTATGCTTTTTTACGGGTTAGTGAGATGACCTCCACCTCCTCTGTGGGTTCACCTCCCCCCATCCAAACAGGTCAACTATTTAAGCTAGCCGATGGTAGTGACAATACTATTGCACTTAAGCTTGTTTTTGTCAACTATAAACACAGCTACAATCAGCGCCCCTTTTCTATAGTAAAACACCGTCAGCCCCCTTTTTGTCCTGTCCAACTGTTGTTGGATTGTTTGGCTCTTCGCGGCAACCAACCGGGCCCCCTGTTCGCTAGTCTGGACACCACCTCAGCGTCTAGAAGTTTCTTTACAGACATAGTTAGGCTAGCATTGACATCTTGTGGCCTTAACCCTTCACGTTACAAGGGTCACAGCTTCCGTATTAAGGCCCCCTCTTTTGCTGCAGATGGGGGAATGTCCGATGTCCAGATCTGGCCCCGGTTGTTCAAACGTTGGATTGTGCCATCCACCGGATAAATCACTATCAAGCGGATAGCGTAATTGATTTCCGTAATACTTATCCGCTGGATAGTGATTTATCCGGTGGATGGCGCTATCCAACGTTTGAACAACCGGGGCCAGGGCTTTGGGGCGGTAGATGTCCAATGCAGATTGCAGAACGCCATTGTATGAGAAAGCGCTGGACCTGACTTGCAAGGGCAGCTGGTCCAGCTCTTTCTTTTCGTTTATTTCAATGAGATGTTGGGGAGCTAACTTTCTGGGGAGGTAGTTTCCACTTCAACCCGGTAGAATTTTTCTGATACAAAACCATTATCTACTGGAGTTTGGGGGGCTGATTAGCAAGGGCAGCAGCCCTCCATTCTCCCAGCTTTGTACACAACCGACAATGATGACATAGACTAGTAAAAAAGGGGGGCTTGGGGGGCTGATTAGCAAGGGCAGCAGCCCCCACCTCCCAATCTCTCAGATTTGTCCATACAGGACAATATTGCCATAGGCTAGTACTGAACTGATGCTTGGGGGGCTTGTTAGCAAGGACAGCCCCCCCCCTTCTCCAGACTTTGTACATAAAGCACGATATATTGTAGTCTAGCTGGTTTGTCGGGATTTATTTGCTCCTTTTGTTTTGTTTCAGGGCTGCATTTCCCTTGGGTGGGACAGCACCGTGACGGTCGTCATGCTGCTGTGGCGTCTTTCTGCCCTCACCTTTACTGGGCATAATAATTTATGTTTGTGATTCAGAAGTGAATTTAAAGGATTCAAAGAAAATAAAGTATTCATTACATCGGGTTAGGGCCATGCCCTTAGCCAATTTTACTCCAAAGTAGTTCTGTCTCTGTGTCTTAAAATCGCCCAGTAAACGAGCTCTGGAACTGCAGCCCAATAACTACATAGAATATATATTTTCGACCAGGGCAAAAAGCATAACGGAGATATTTGCTGGCGAATAGAATTTTTATGTCTTTCCCCTGGTCATCTTATAGCTAGTTTGGATTGTTGTCGCTAAGAAATATCTTTTTGTTATGTAATCGATCTGAACACGTGAGTTGAGGTCCGTGACTTGACAGGCTAGGGTTGGGGGTGGCTCATGTCAATGTATTCAACCCCAATCTATTTTTGGGGTTTTTGTTGTCACATGTGACCTTTGCTACCGCGCTGTCATTCGTTCGAATAGACTCGCCGTGCGAACATCTTACTTTTTTCCCTCCTCCTCCTCTTGCCCTGTCCTTTTCTTTTGCTTTAAACCATTGCTAGGGCGTTTTTCTGTCCTCAACTTTACTGGGCATAATAATGTATGTTTGTGATTAAAAAGTGTATTTAAATGATTATATTAAAGATGAAACAACAACAACATGATATTAATTTGAGGAGGAGCATCCGACTAGATCACGGAGGGTCGTGGGTTCAAATCCCATCTGCGACTCGGATTTTTTTTCCGAGTCCTCCTCAAATTAATATCATGTTGTTGTTGTTTCATCTTTAATATACTCACTTTGGAGGTTGGTTGGCCGCATCTTGGATATGCTTTAAGGTGACAGCGCGATGCTGTTAGTTCTTGAGTTCTTCACTTCTTGTGTGCCAGTCATTACTTGGCTGTGTAGCCGCGTGATGCGGTTCCAGTCGAGACCCACAAACTGGCCCTTGCTCACCATAGAGTCTCCAGTAGCTCAAGTGGTTAGAGCATCCGACTAGATCACGGAGGGTCGTGGGTTCAAATCCCATCTGCGACTCGGATTTTTTTTCCGAGTCCTCCTCAAATTAATATCATGTTAATGTTGTTTCATCTTTAATATACTCACTTTGGAGGTTGGTTGGCCGCATCTTGGATATGCTTTAAGGTGACAGCGCAATGCTGTTAGTGAGTTCTTCACTTCTTGTGTGCCAGTCATTACTTGGCTGTGTAGCTGCGTGATGCGGTTCTAGTCGAGACCCACAAATTGGCCCTTGCTCACCATAGAGTCTCCAGTAGCTCAAGTGGTTAGAGTATCCGACTAGATCACGGAGGGTCGTGGGTTCAAATCCCATTTGCGACTCGGATTTTTTTTCCGAGTCCTCCTCAAATTAATATCATGTTATTTAAATGATGCAAAGAAAATTACTTATTCATTAAATCAACTTAGGGCCATGCCCTTAGCCAATTTTACTCCAAATCAGTTCTGTCTCTGCCTCTTTTAATCGCCCAGTAAACGAGCTTGGGAACTGCAGCCCAATAACTACATAGAATATATATTTTCGACCAGCGGAAAAGGCATGAAGAAACCTTAAGTCGAAGACCCCAAAAAATCCATAAAAGCGTAAACCGACGGTCTTAAAACAAATGAAGTAACATGGAAAAAGAAGCCTTAAGTCGAAGACCAAAAAAAATCAATGAAAGCCTTATGCCAAGGGCCTTAAACCAAAGGCAGTAACAAAGAAAAAGAAGCATTAAGTCGAAGACCAGAAAACATCGACGAAAGCCTAAAGCCGACGACCTTAAACCTTAAGTGGTAACATGGAAAAAGAAGCCTTAAGTCGGCGACCCAAAAAAATCCATGAAATCCATAAGCCGATGGCCTTAACCCAAAGGCAATAAATGGCAAAAAAAGCCTTAAGTGGAAGAACAAAAAACATCGATGACAGCCTTAGGCGGACGGCCTTAAACCAAAAGCAGTAACATGGAAAAAAAACCTTAAGTCGACGACCAAAAAAAACATCGATCAAAGCCTAAAGCCGACGGACTTAAACAAAAGGCAGTATCATGGAAAAAAAAGGCTTAAGTCAACGACCCAAAAAAATCGATGAAAGCCTAAAGCCGAAGGTTTTAAACTAAAGGCGGTAACATGGAAAAAGATGCCTAAAGTCGAAGAGCAAAAAAATCGTTGAAATCCAAAAGCCGACGGCCTTAAACTAAAGGTAGTAACATGGAAAAAGAAGCCTTAAGTCGACGACCAAAAAAACCGATGAAAGCCTAAAGCCGACAGCCTTAAATCAAAGGCGGTAACATGGAAAAAGAAGCCTTAAGTCCACGACCCAAAAAAATCGATGAAAGCCTAAAGCCGACAGCCTTAAATCAAAGGCGGTAACATGGAAAAAGAAGCCTTATGTCGACGACCCAAAAAAATCGATGAAAGCCTAAAGCCGACGGCCTTAAATCAAAGGCAGTTACATGGACGGAGAAGCCTTAAGTCGAAGACCTCCCCAAAAAATGGATGAAAGCCCAAAGCCGAGGGCCTTAAACCACAGGCAGTAACATGGAAAAAAAGCCTTGAGTCGACGAGCAAAAAAAAATCGAGGAAAGCCTAAAACCGATGGCCTTAAACCAAGGGCAGTAACGTGAAAAAAGAAGGGTTAGGTCCAAGACGAAAAAAAAATCGATCAAAGCCTAAAGGCGACGGCCTTAAACCAAAAGCAGTAACATGAAAAAGAAGCCTTAAGTCCAAGACAAAAAAAATCGATCAAAGCCTAAAGCCGACGGCCTTAAACCACAGGCAGTAACATGGAAAAAGAAACCTTAAGTTGACGACCAAAACAAATCGATGAAATCTTAAAGCCGACGGCCTTAAACCAAAGCAGTAACATGGAAAAAGAAACCTTAGGTCAACGACCAAAAAAATCGATGAAAGCCTAAAGCCGACCGCCTTAAACTAAAGGCAGTAACATGGAAAAACAGTGCTAAAGTCGACGACCAAAAAAATCGATGAAAGCCTGAAGCCGACGGCCTTAAACCAATTAGTGTAGTCTACAAGTGTAGCCATTGTTTTAGGGTCTAAAAACCATTAGAGCTACACTTGTAAACGACGGTCAGGAAATATCGACCATCGACTGGCAAGAGTTGAAAAATCGACTGCCTTCATTTTTTTTGTCCATAAATAGCTTTTAGGTAGATAAGTAATCTGATGTAGGTTGTTCTCGCAAAAAGCCTTTTATTTTCGAGAAAAGTAAGAATATCAGTTTTCGTGGTCGGAGTCTCAAAATGGCCTATTTTCAACCCGAAATTTGGTAACAACAACTCTCCTCGCGTTCGCAAATAAAGCTGCAAGGAGAAATTTGGACACTTTCCATCAATAGAACAACTCTTCTTCTTTCACTAGAAGATACTTTCAAAGCCATATCAAGACTCGTTGAACTAACATAATTCAGAAACGAAGAACAGGTTTTTACGGTGAGAAAAACTTTAATTTAGTACTTGTTTTCTGCGGCATTTTTCTTCATGTGGTTTAGCTCCAAATTTTCCCGGTCCTCGTTTATTCACACATTTAGACATTCATCTAAAGCATACCTGAGAATTGGCTTGGGTTCCTTTAGGCAGCCTCCAAACGAAAGCATCAAAGTCCGGTAAAAATAGTGAAGCGTGACCAAAATAACTTATTTAACGGCCCCAAGTTTTCTCGATCGTAAAGTAAGAAGACGAATTATCTTCCCGTTCCGTCATCCTTAGCGAATTACCATTGTTAAAGTCCATATTTTTCGATAAAAAGTGAGTACCAGAAAAAGCGCGTTTGACTTTTCGAATTCTTCTTCAAAATACTGTCGGGATCGAAAATGTTACTCTTTCAAGAATTGCGTTGCCTTACTACCGTGATTCTGTGACTAGGGAACTTATTAAAGACAGAGACGTTTTCGGGGCGACGGCGACCGGACTGGCAGAGCAAGTCTGGAACAGAGGCAGCCGTCGCTTCCCTCCAAAATTCGAACTTAAAATCGCAGTAAATTCAGGAGGACGGCGTCTTGGAAGACTACCGAAGAGGAAAAAATATGGCTTCACATAAAGAATTAAGAGAATTAATGCTTATTTGCTTGCATGCAACAACAATGACAACAACAACAACAACTTTATTTCAGTATTCCCACGTGGTATTACCTACTATTCTAAACAATTTTCAATACGTTTCATTTATACGATACTCTAACGAAAAAAGTGAGCTAAAAACATACAATTAAAATATCGGAGTTCATACTTTTTGTCTGGATACTTTCATTTGGCTCGTAGGACAATTTTGTCCATGTAAAGCTCACTTACGGTTTGCTGTTTGCCA